GTTCTAAAAGGAAACGATTATCAGGTTGGGGACGAGATAAAAGATTTTACCTCAATTCGGGGTGGTTTTTTAATGTATCAAGACGCGTTAATGTCTCTAAATGCGAACTTTGAACCGAACTCTATCTCTATAGTTTAAATTACAGTTGAGCGTTCATCAACTAGGTTGCCGAGAAAATGAGATCATGATAACACAGATATAGAAGTCACAGGAGTCAGATTTTCAGATCTGCCAGACGTGGTTTCTCGACTGCTTATACTAATGTTTTGTATACATGGTTGTGTCGCTAAACTTCCAATTAGACCGACTAAGTTTTAAGATATTTACTGAATGAGCAACAGATAGAGAAACATTCTGAAATTATCTGTAGTGGATGAAGTCAACGAGAAGAAAACATTATTTAATTGTAATTAAAAGTCAACTTGTTGACAGATTTCATTAACAGTTCCATCAATTTTATCAATCATATTACGCGATTGTCAAGTCATGACAATGCTTTATGACGATATCCTGAAACCATTATGTTTAACTAGTTATAGTATTTATTGAGGAGTAGCCAGTTGAAAACAGGTATTGTTGTTTTATGTGCTTCTGAAATAGCAAACGTTTGTAGCGTTAAAGAATCTAAGCTGTTCGATTATGTTATAAATTCCAATTCAGAAATATTCGCCTAGTGTTACTTTTATTACTAGGCTCCGGAGTTTTTATTTTAAATGTTTGTTTAGCCAACAACTACCTGAAAGCTTATTTATTATACAATTGCATTATGATAGTGCCTATATTTGGTAAGTTTATTATTTTAACTACGTTCGTCTTTTTAGGTTAATATATGGTAGACCGACTCATAAACCCAAATACGTATAGCAATAAGGACTATGTTGAGTTTATTGAGAATGTTAAAAACCATTCAAGTGATTTTTAAATTTAAAAGAAATAGAGATATAATTCAACGCATGTACGGGCCAGGCTAACATGCAGGTTGGTGAGGTAAATGATAATAATAAGATAATAAACAAGGCCAGAATATAAGTTTAAAGTTAATACTGCTTATGAAACGTCAGGCAGGAATAATATGCATTATAAACTTTCCCTGCATATAGCCTAGTGACATTTACGAATACATGGCAAGATCAACTGAAATTAAGAAATGCCTTTAAACAACACGCTTTTTCTTAATAGTATGTTGTAGTATAAAAGTATTCAACTTTTCTACCAAAAAGTCTTGGCAGTGGCTGGTATGAAATTTATACAACAAGTCCAACGGAAAAAGTCTATGTAAGTTAAGAAGTGCTAAAACCATAGTAAATTAACCAGGAAAGGGAAAAAAGTTAAAAATCGCCTGGATTATTTTCGAAAATTAGATTATTCAGTAGACGACATATATAAGGCCACTCGTGACGAGTAGCAATGATCCAAAATCATCCAGAATAAAACACTCAGTATGGCGACTACTTCCAGGGTGCTTGGCGCTGTCGACATTTTTGCTACTCGCTCGAATCAGAACAATTGGATGATCCCAGATAATTGTGTGGCTGTCATTGTATGAGCCATCTAAAATGACCTTATGACTGCAGGAAATTTATAGCTTAAACTCACCGTATGTTTGTGGAGTAGTGTCTTTGTTGTTAGTCAATGGAACTCGAAAATCGGACACTAGGTAGGCAATGGTCGGAAGAAAATTTAATACAGGATAGTGCATAGTTTAAAACAGAATGAGGTGTTAGGTGAAGAAACAGTATGAAGAATTAGATCCAGACAACTGTTTAGTCCTTGCTTAGGTTGCTAGTCAACGTATATTGAGGTTATTTACAGGTCATATTTGCTAGAGATTGATGTTTAAACAAGTTTATTTCGCTGAAGCATGTAAATGCTATTAAAGCTTGTTAATGGACCATCAAAGCTAATTAATATAGATGACCAGTTATTAGTATCGATCAAGTTAGTATGTTATGGGTACTAACCAATATAACATTACGATAATACATGTGAACACTAACCAGATGGCTAATGCAATATTGGGTTTACATAAGTAAAAATCGATCGAGAATGTTCAATTGAAAATAGGTATACTTAGTAATAGGCTGCGTTTCTCTAGTCAGGCTTACCATTGTGGAATTATGGTCTACTATGATATTAGTACTGCTCTAATAATAGACTTTATCCTGAAATTGTACATTTGTCATGATGTAATTACCTAATCTATAAGATCATACGTGGATGTCACCTCATTATCTACCCTGACACATTCGTATTGTAACAATCATCAATATATGGTGAAGAACACATTTAGGCTGGAGATAGAACAATATATTTAATATAGATAAAGGAATGTTATATAAGTAGGACCACGCCTGCAAGGCCGAGCCAAGCCATCCGACCGATTCGAATTAATTGGATTAATTTTTCTCGCCTTCTCCATCGTTGGGTTTCTCTCCGCGTTAAATGTTGAATATCTATTTCCTAGTTGTCTCGTGTTCAACTTTGAGGATTGTGTGGTTAGGCTGAAGCTTCATCGGAATATTTCAGTAAAGGGCTTTCTACTAGTAATGAGGAACGACCTGTAGTGGCATTGGACCATAACCACACAATCCTCAAAGCTGAACACAACACTACTCGAAAAATAGGTATTCAATATTTAACACGGAGAAATACCTAACGATGGAAAAGGCGGGAACAGATAATTGAATGAATTGGAGTTGATCGGATGGCATGGCTCGACCATGCAGGCGTGGTCCATCTGAGTGTTACCTTATATCTTCTATTCATATTAAATATATTGTTCCTTCTCTAGCCTAACCTTGTTCTACATCATGTATTGATAATTGATACGATACAGTGAGTTGGTGTAGTCGATGGTGTGACTTCCACGTAAGATCTTATAGGTTAGGCAGTTATATCATGACAAATCTACAAATTTAGGATTAGGTCTATTATTAGGGCAGTACTAATATCATAGTAGACCATAATTCTACAGACCAACGATCTATTGTGATTGTGGCGGCTTGCTGATGGACCCTGTAGTTATCGAGTAAGATACTTTCTTAAAGTTATTTCAACATCTCAGGCCTAAGAATTCCAGTGGTCCTGATGATATTCATCCTAGGATAAAGAAAGCCTTATCAAATGTAATTGCTGAACTTTAAGCGATACTGCTTGATATGCCTTTGTGGCAGTCCAGACTGCCCAGAGGCTGTAAAGACGCGATAATTAGTTTGATGTATAAATCTGGGAATAGAGATTTAGTTAGTAACTATCATCCTGTTAGCTTAACTTGTACAGTTGTCGAATAGATGGAAAAAATTATTGTGATATCTTTCACAAACTATGGAGAAGGGCATAATATTTTATACAAGAGACAACATGGTTTTCAGAGAGGCCTATTATGTTTGACAAATCTGATTGCAAGAGAAGGTCGAAATATTCCTTTAGATGTGATCTTCATAGATCTAAGTAAATCTTTCAGTAAGGTCTCTCATTCTGGTGTACCGTGATGTCGAGTTGAGATTAACTATGAACACCGCTACCAAGAAACACGTGCCAAGTAGATCAGAAGGCGAAAGTCGAACGTAACCAAATAAATCCATAAAATCTCCGAGAAGCCAAATACCAGAAGACAATTAATGGACCAAGTCGAGATATATATTTGCTGGCGATCTCGTGGTATCGAAAGGATACCGAGATCGTGCCAGGATACAAGCTTGGTTACAGAACGTAACCGAATTCGCGCGAAGTTACAATCAAAGTGTAAGAATAAGAATGGAAGCACAATATAGCTGTCATTAGCACAGTCAAACTAAAGCACATTAAAACAAGCACTGATACAGTTGGTTATAATAATAATTGTTTTTATCAAACCAGTCGTGTTCTCGTGATAAATGTGAGTCACTACACTGGTATTAAATTCAAACTGGAAAGTTTGAGAATCCATTATACAATCACAGACAGAATAAGTGACTTTCTCCATAGCAGGGGACAAAGGGTAAGGGTAAATGGAGCTCTATCATCATAAGAACCTGTAAAACGTCGAGTTCCCCAAGACACAATCCTGCGTCTCCTTCTCTTTTTATTTTATGTAAATGAATTACCAACTGCAGCGAAACCGTTCGTTCTACTCTTCGCCGATGACGTAAAGATTTGGAGACCCATACACAGCATATCAGATAGAATAGTATTACAGGATGATTTCAGGCCACTGGTGGCATGGATAGATAAGTGGTCACTAAGAGTAAATCCTAACAGGAGTGTAGTGACTCAGCTGAATAACTATGGCGATTCGTATCACTACACACTATGTGGATTCGTGCTACCCAAATTAAGAATCTATAAAGACTTAGGAGTCATACTAAGCAATGATCTCAAAACTACCAGTCACTGCAAGGCTGCTGCAAAAAAGGCTATAGGGTACTATGGTCTGTTCGTAGGTCTTTCTAGTATTTGGATGATGGAATGTTTAGAGTATTATACCCGACTTTCGTGAGACCACATTTTAATATGGGATTCAAGCATGTTTCAAGTATGAGGTGAATATGCTGGAACGAGTCCAACGACGATGGACTAAGATGGCAAAAGGCCTATCTAGCCTATATTATGAAGACAGAATGAGATACTTTAACTTATTTCTGTTATCTTACCGTGGAATACGGGGTTATTAATATTGACTTATCGTAAACTGAACGATGATCTTGGAATTAATCTGTCCTATCTTTTCCTTCCGTCTAAAACTGATCATTTGGGAGGACATTCGAAGAAAGTTCAAAAACCGAGATCAAATCGTTTGCGTCTGGAGTTTCGTTTCTCGCACCGGGTAGGGAATTACTGGAATTCTCTACCAGAACACGCAATATCAGCACCTTTTGTTGATATATTCAAAACGAGATTGGACATCCACAGTGTTAAAAACTGCAAGAATTAATATAGGTAGATAGACTTCTTCTTATTACTGAGGAGTGAAATGCATAATTCATAAGGACAGACACTGACTTACAGACTGACACGAGACCCCGCTAATTTAAGCGTTTGCGTTACTCCCCTTTCTGTGCAGATACGTAAGGCATGTTTCTTGTTTACTTGGTTCTTTGAGAACTAACTGATGTTTGATAGACTGCAAACTCCTTTAATAGAAGTTTATTCCTCCCCACTGTGGCATTTTTGCGTGGATTATTTCCCGAACTATTTCCGAGTTTTATTCTGATTTCGCGGGAACAGATATAGGATGGAATGAATTGCGAAAGATGGGAGTGCTCTCATCTGCCTGTTAAGTTGCGTTGTTTTCTATTTATTGACGGGTCTCGTCTAACAGGTTCTTAAGTATGGGTCACAGACCAGTTTGATCATGATTAACATTTTCAATTACCTCGCTCGTAATTGCTTGGTTAAGTATTTATGTTTGTATCGTATACGTTTTTAGTGAAGTTGGTAATTGATAAGTTTATCAATATGTCATCGGATTCGAGGACTGAATAGTCTGAGAGAAGTGCATAACCTATGAGTGGACGTTTTCGATGAATTTTGAACACAATCCGAACTAGTGGACTTCCTTAATTTGATCACAGTTATTTCTGGCAATAAAAAATTGTAAACGCTGACGTGATTGCAGGTGCTGCAGTTGAATTTTCAGTCTGATTTGTTGTCCTATTAGTTTTTTGTTATTAACTAATCCGAGGATCCTAAAGTATTTTTTAGTATTTATGGGTTGTAACTCAATAGCTAAGATAATCCTTAGGGATTTTCATCCATCTTAACCCAAAATTACACAGTAAATGTAACGGCGAGTCTAATTTGTGTACGAATCAATGGGACTTAAGGTAGCAAGTCTTGGATTCTGGCGCGAAGTTCATCAATCCATATGGGTAATTAATACATTGACATTATACCTGATATCAGTTCGTGATTGCTTGTTAACCCAATTCGTTTGTTCATAAACTGTTTACCAAATTACCGAAAAACCTTGAGCACATATAAACTTCCATCCTTCCGTTGTTTAAAATAGTCTATTAAGTAGTTTCGGAGCTTAAATTTTAGTTGAAATTCACAATAGTCAGGTACGACCTAAACGAAACAACCTTTGAAAGTCAATTTGTCAGAAATACGAATTTAACAGAGTTGTATATTTGTGTAATATAACAAAAATGGAACCAATTAGTGACAGAACATTTTAAACAGACTAATTAAGCTGACTGTTTATTATATTATTTATATCTATTCCTCTACGTTGTATGGAGAGATCTGAACATTTTGGTTTACCGTTTTGTGATAGAAAACCGGTAGTTAAAAATCCGACATAGTGGTGCGAATGATTTTCTTCTTTTTTCCACTCTCAAGTATGGAACTTTTCATCTCTGTCCGTTTAAATATTTGCTTTTACTGTGAACCCTTGTTTATCCAAAGTACCTTTTCCAAAAAATTCTGCCTGCAGATTTGCAAAGTATGTTAGTTTCAATTTATGTGTTCTTTTGTTGACTTATCTGTCTACAGTCGTTCTTCATCTTGGGCATTGTTTTCTGTATTTACGTAAAAGCCGCGTGAGATAAAAGTGAAAGTCTAAACTATCATAACTATGCTGTAAAAATCAAAGCGCTCCTGAAAAAATATATTCCAAACACTACATACTACTGTATTATGTCTCTGTCAATTGTGTCATTTTTACATTGTTGCCAAATGTATTCCCCATGATATCTTTAATATTGAGTTCCAAGTTAATCACTAGTATTGTAAAAGTCATAATGAGTTTTTGCTATCTACAGCCTTATTTATGTGCACGGTCTCGTCCTGTAACTGCTTGATATTCTCTGAGCAGATTTTTGACTGATCCTTGTTTTCTAAGCTCTAAAGTTCGTTTTAAATATTACGTTTTTGTAGATATACGGACATGTAATTAAATATGGGCCGGAAAAGTGCCACTCTTTCTTGTACACCAAGGCGTTCTACTCGACCAGTTAGGTCAACTGATGAAGTCCAAACACCTCCTGAAAATAAGAAATCGGTTAATCCAACTAAAAAGTCAAGTCGGTTGACCACAATCAAGAAAAGTGCTTCCAGTAACAAAGATGAACATCTATCCGCTTTGAATAAGCATACAAAAAGACGTAGTAAACGAATTAGTTCAAGAGTAGAAACACAGAAATCAAGTCTTAAAGGAACATTGGGTTTGGAGAAAAAAAATGAATTGTTCGGAGACGATAAAGAGTTATTGACAGATCGCCACTTTCAAGATGAGTGTAATGACAGCGATTCAAGTGATTTCGTATCCCAGTGCTCAAGTGTTGAAAGACCTAAGAGCAAGAAAAAAGGCAATTTGCGTTTGTTTTCAGAATTCAAACCGAAGAATGTGGCTAAAAAACTGAGTAAACCATTGAGAAACGTTAATGTAGTTGAAAAATTTCAAAGTATTGTAAATAATGATTCAGACGACGAAACAGAATGGGTTGAAGTGGATGATGAGCCAACTAATGAATTAGATTTCATGCATAACCTTTTGAATTTCGGTTCAAATACTGTACCTTGCGAAGATGGAGAAAAGAAACCTACATCACTAACTGTAGCTATCCCTTTTGATAGTTCCACTAAAAAACATTCTAAACAAGATCCAAAACTTCTCGAGTTACTTGCACTAAAACGCAAACTAAAAGAACATTACACATTGATGCATTCAGTTCATGTGTTATGTTTTCTTGCTCATAGTCGTGTGATAAATCGAACTTGTGACAGTTCCTTATGTTGGGCTTTAGGTATTTCACTTTTGGCTAATACAAATGCAGTGTACAACCAAAAAACAAAACAGTTTATCAGATTATCATTGTGGTCAATTGAACATGTAGAAGCGTGTCTTGTTTCATTGTTGTCTTATCAAGGAATGCAATTATGTACTGAAAATAATTCCTGCGGTGATTATGAATACCAGCTTGTTCGTCGTCTTTCAGAATCGAAATCAACTGAAAGTGATTGTCTCATACTACTTGTTGCAGCTCTTCGTTCTCTTGGATTCGATGTACGAATAATCCTTGGTCTTCATCCAATACCTTTATTGCCTAGTGAACCAGCGACCAAAATGCTTACGTCTAAAAGTAAAGAATTTAAAAGTTCCAATAAGGGAAAATATAATCGAAAAATCATTTCTTCAGATGAAGAAGACATATTTGATACCAATTTTGATCATCATTATTATAATGAGAATTCAAAATCCAGCGTTACTCTGTTTGCTGAAGTATTTCTACCGAAATTGAATCGTTGGGTATGTATTGATCCATCATCGCCTACAGGTGTTGTGGATAAAGTGAATTTCAAACATGGATCTTTATATGTTGTCGGTGCTTGTTCTGTACGATCATCGAGTCCTGAGTTAGTATCTTATGTTGGTAGAAATCCAGTTGATCTGTCTCCTCGTTATGTTCAGGATTGGTGCGTTTCTGCTCGTACTCATCGCATTCCTGCTGAGAAGTGGAGTAGTTTTCTTGATATACAAAGTAGATTTTTTGATAAAGATGCCGTTGAATATGATGCTTTAGTTTCTAAGTTAAATACAGTCCCAACTTTTCAACGAGATAAAAAAGATAAGGATTCTATTCAAGAAAAGCTTTTATCTGAACCTCTACCTAAACGTATGCAAGACTTTAAGAATCATCCACTGTATGTTCTCCAACGCCATTTACTTAAATTTCAAGTTATTCATCCACCTGATTCAATCCCCTTGGGATATTTTCGTAATGAACCGGTTTATTCTCGTGATTGTCTTCATCTTTGTCATACCAGAGAATCATGGTTAAAAGAGGCTATGGTACGTTCACAACACTATTGTTTTCAAGAAAAATACATTCCTAGATGTTCTCGAAAATCTTTCCTTCCGCAAATCCATATTCTATCCCTCATCTTTCCTATTATCACTAACTATGTATAATACCCTAGAATCTCTGTACTGATGTAGTTTTGCAATTTGAGTCGATGCACTTTTTCCAGATTCTACGTTCCAGATAACTATGACTAAAGAAGAATATCAATGAAAAAAGTTTCTGAAATATGACAGAAAATCGCCTCCTAAATTGTTTTACTTCTTACATACTTGATGGTTAACTGTGGAATTCCAACTCATTGGCCATGTATACTAAGCTTTTAGCCGAACCTAGAAATATTTCTTTGCTGTTAAAACCAAATTAAATTATACTGGGTGTGATCTCGACACCTTACGATCCAAAGTCACTTGGTTATATCCCAGTGATTATCTCACAAAACTCACCCGAAAGCCAACGGGTTACATAAGGATATCAGTCAGTCAGTCTGCCACAGCATAGGGCCAGACACATCGGTCTAAGTTGCCATACCTCATTAGCACAACAAGATGAACACCAAATCCATAGAAGTAGTTAATTCAGTGATGGTAATATATAAAGGAAAGATTGCATGTAAGAACACAGTACAGGAAGAAAGAATTAGTTCGTAGAAAGAAAGATATGAAGCGATTTTAATCTCATAGTTTAAAGGAAGACAAAGAGTATATACACCTACGCCATTGTGATCGATTCTGAGCCATGTCACCCAGAGTCACACGGACCCAAACCAAGTAGTCTGCATCTACCAACGTGGCTCAGACCAGAAGTTCGTGACTCCAAGGACTGATGCCACGTTTTGGTTTGGCCGCCCCTATCTTTCTTCCAACCATCCCCCACCAATGGTGTCAGCATTGCACGTCGTGATAATCGGTGTTCAGGCATACGCGACACGTGGCCCAACCATCTTAGTCGATGAAGATTTACAACCTCATCAACTGATTTACCATCATTCCCTAATACCTTGCATCTAAGCTCACTATTACTTACCCGGTGATCCCAGCAGATGCGAGCAATATTTCTAAGACCGTTGTTGCTACCTTGACGTGGTGGTCGGGCTTGCCTATCGTGCTAAACCAATCGATCTATACTGGCTGGAACAATCGTTCTTCAAGGTCCTACTATGCCAGACAGGTCAGTTGAAGAGCGATAAGACTAAAAGCAGCAAACCCAAGGTCTGAGGATGAAGTCGTGCTGCTGACTGTACAGAGGTGTTACGGCAGTAAGATGTTTCCTCCAGTACAACCAACATAATAACGATGCTGCCTTCCCACAAGGAGGGGTGGGGTTAGAAAAGGTCGACCCTAAAAATGCACACATCTTATCCCACGGATATCCGTCTCCAGCAGTAAGGTCTCAACAAGTACGGAGCTAACACGAAAATTACCCACAAAAGTGTCGTGTGTGACCGACCTCAAGCAGTTGTCCTTGGGTACTATGGTCATGCTCTCAGGTCACTAAGACCACCTAACCCAATTTCCTTTTCAAGTACCTCCAGAAGAACTCTTCCACAGTGTGGGCAACCGGGAAGTGATAACCGCTCTCATGCTCCCAACAACACTCAAGACCACTCTATTCATAATCAAACTCCTTCGTTAAGGATGATAACCTTGGTACAATCTGAATTTCACAAACCCATGGTTGTAATTACGTTTACTTCGTTTGTTAGTCATCAATACCCATACTTACATCTACAAAGGCGTCTAGTTATCAGTAATGTATGTCAGCCCATCATTTGCCTTAACAGGTTATGCTAAACTAGTTCAGGACTAAGTTCGTTAAAGCCCAAACTTTGAAAGACCATGATATTAACACTAACCGAAGAATTGTGTTAATATGTAACGGTTTTTTAGTTATATCGATAGTGAAAAACTGATTTGATTATAATTCACTGTCTGGAAACCATGTACCTTAGCGACTGTCTTATATCACTACATAGTCACTATTCTGTTACTTTAGATTTAAACCCTCTTTAATCATAATAAACTGCTATTTGATATCTCAGCTATTTTGAGTTTTGGTCCGGTTTTTCACAACTTTTTTCAGCACACTTCATTGTCGAAACGTTATATATAAAGTTTTCAAGTACCAGTAAATATTTATTCATAGGTACTCAGTGTCATATGTAGTTGCTTTATTTTCCTTTTTTGTATTTCCATTCTCAGACCGTTCGTCTTCATGAAAAACCCGCGAAAGTTGTTAAAGCTCGTTTATCTATGAAACGTAAGTTGTTACAAGGTTCCGATTCTGCACCTGCAACTGTTGAAATATTCGGTCCATGGCAAGTGGAACCGTATGTACCACCGAAAGCTGAAAATGGTATTGTCCCACGTAATGCACATGGAAATGTTGATTTGTTTAAACCGTGCATGCTTCCCATAGGCTGTGCACACTTATGTCTTTCTGGTATGTTCTATATGGTTTCTTTTTTTTAAAAATCATGTTTGATTTCATTTCAATTTGATCTTTCCATCATCAAAAGTAATACAGAATAATTTCTCTACACTTTGTAGGCCTTTTTTAAACGTATCCGAATTGCGTTATTTTGTGACTCATTTTATTTTAAAGAATGATTTCTTATGATAAAGAAGTGTTCGATACAATAGAACATTAAAAAATGTACCACAAAATGTATTGAGTAACATTAATAATGGATATATTTTTTATATCGAGATGAGTAGAAAAATTGTATTTCTGACGCTTCGTAACTTAGTGCAGGCCACTTCTTCAGTGTAAATAAATAACCGACATTAAATTAACATAAATACTATAACAAAAAGTATATACTTATTATTAACGTTTTACTCAATGCTCAATTTATTTAAAACTATCAAGTCCAACCTTGGCATTGATACTCATGAAATAAAATTATTTTGCAAAAAGAAAAAAAATTGAGAAAAAACAACAGCGTTAAAATATACAATTAAATATAGATCATGAGTCGATTGAAGCTAGACCACCATGGAAAGCCTGGAAGCACTGGACGGCCGTTTCGTCCTAGCACGGGACTCCTCAGCAGTGCGCATCCACGACCCCGCCTTGCAAGATTCGAACCCAAGACATGTCGGTCTCGCATGCGAATTCTTAACCTCTAGACCACTGAGCTGGCATCCGACGGTGTTAATGTTTAACTCCAACCAATCCACGAAGTTGCGCCACCGTACACCATTGTCTTCAGTGAGCTGAAATCACAACAGACCTGGTTGAACTCCACTGGTCACGGCTTCTCACTAGAACTCCAGGAGTATCTCTTGAAGTCATTTACTAGTGAGATGATTATTATCAGAAGGGGTTTTGTGGAGATTTTAGAAATTTCACTGATTGAAATCATGAATCGATTTTCCATGGTGGTCTAGCTTCAATTGACTCATGATTTCAATCAGTGAAATTTCTAAAATTTCCACAAAACCCCTTCTGAAAATTAAATATAGATCAGAACGAAAAAAAGATTTAGTTCAATCTATATGTACATGTTATTATTTATAAGAAGTATGAGCAAAAATTAATCCAGATTTGTAGTCAATAGCAGGAAAATGATGTATAGTAGAGTACTAGAATGTAACACATAAGTCGAATGACTTGTAAAAAAAATAAGATAGTAATGTATTTACTTTAAACTTAGTACTTCCTTAGAAACAATAGTTTGGATTTATAACTGGAGAATCTAATGCGAACTTATTGAGAAGAATATTCTTCGTTCATATATCTGAGGTTTTAATAGCGAAGTATCATTCAATATAGAATATAATTTGATTAGAAATACAACTAAGATTTAATTAGTTAAGAATATAACACAAAAGATCACATTTGACCATCATTCTTAACCATGCTTAATAGCATCTCTGACACGTTTGTGTACTTAGTTGATTATTTCCAAATCCAACTCCATTACAGTGAACGAGACTACTCTTATGTTTCTCTTCTTCTTCTTCTTCTTCTCCTTCTTCTTCTTCTTCTTCTTCTTCTTCTTCTTCTTCTTCTTCTTCTTCTTCTCTACCTCATAACTGAAGTGAGGAGTACAAGTTTGTATCGAAACTGTTCCTGGTAGAAACCTTCCAGAAGGATGAAATTACATCCAAGTTTATTCAGTTATATACCTATTAATTAAGTGATTATTAACTATCACAATTTATTAAACTAAGTAACCAGCACAAAATACAATTGAAATACATTCAAAGTCAATGAGTAGAAATCTCAAATCGATATGCGAATTTTGAGAGTGATCATTGAGGATCGTCCGTTTAGAGAGTTCATTTCCGGCAAATTAGGAGCGGAATTGCTCACATCGATTATTTATGCATCCAGTCTCTTACACTCAGACTGACGTAACAGCTGCAAAGAATGTTCAATAATAATATGAGCTAAAGCTGTATGCATGGTTTCTATTGGAAACTTTTGTTATAAGTTCTACGAAGTATATGTTTATTAAATAAACATCCTATTTAACTCGTAACACTTGTCTAATGTAATTCTATCTTCGATGATTGTTCCAATGTTATCTACCTTAACTGAAAGTTATTTTCGTTGTTAAAAAATGTATTATTTGTATATTTTAACATCAGGTATTCAGTATATTGCTAAAAAACTTGGAATTGATTGTGCAGAGGCTGTTGTTGGTTGGACATTTCATGGTAGTGGTTGGGCTCATCCAAATATAAAAGGATATGTTGTCTGTAAAGAGTCTGTACCAGTTCTTATTGATGCATGGCGTACGGAACAAATGAATGCAGCAAAATTAGAGCATGAAGAACGAATAGAGCGTGCGCTAAAAAACTGGAAACGATTAGTTCGTGGACTCTTTATATGGCATCGAGTTAAAGCACAATTCGCTTTAGCTCCATTGCATAATAAACAAGCTACTATTGAAAAATACGAAAAAAACAAAACAGTAAAACATAAAGAAATGACTGGCAAAAAAGTTATTCCATTGCATCTTAAAGAAGAGGAAGAGAAAACTCTTGAATCATCAATTTCTTTAGATATCCCGGTCAAAAATGTTGAAACTGACAAAGGATGGATACGTTTAGGTACAGATGATAAAGCTCATTTATTACCCAAATTGTTGTCAATCGCCAAATCATGCCCTCCCAAACGTTGTAATCCTCCTAGAAAAAAGCGTAATGTAATTAAATATGAAGAATCTTCAAGTGAAGCATCGGGTACGGAGATACCAAGCTCAAAAGATGATTCAGCAGATGAATTTGTAGAAAAATTTGATTCTAGTGAATAGGTATGTCTCAGATTGTTTATTTTCTTTGTATTATAAAAATCCCCAATATATCCTTAGTTATCAGATTTATTCACTCGAATTTATTTAGTGAATAACAGTTAACATGAAACTCTCATATTCAAACCTCCATCATTCACTAATGCAATCAGAAACCCTGTACTATTGGCGGATATAACCGAACAAGTATAGATTTGTACAGTTAGTTGTATAGTATAGATATTACGAGTTTAGGTTTTAATGATTTGTAAAGTTAATTTTTGTTTGTTGAAATAAAATAAAATAATACTGTCCAACAGGACTGTACAATCATACATACATTACTGCTGAGTGAGTGATAGCTACTCACGAGACTAAATTATTTGCATAATTCTACAAATGATTTTAAAGTCAAAGATACGATCACTAGTCAGAAAAATGAGTTTTCTATGTAAGAAAATGTTATAGGCAATTGGAATCTGTTTGTTAGGTTTATTTTATTAATAGACCAAACCTTATGTGTGTAAGTGATAATAAGCGTTGATACCTAGCTAAATTGCCACTGAATTTTATTTGAAAACATTGCATTTGTCGGTCCAATTCTTTACCAACCTTAATCTCATTTTAATCACTCAATATTGTGTTCAAATTTCATGTGAATTATAGATATGTATAACTGCGTTCACCTGTCATCACATTGGCTACTAGGCTACAGCTTACTTACGCCTGTTAACCCTCGTGTAGGAGCATAGGCCGCTCACCATCACTCCATCGAATTCTCTCCTGGCCAGTCCTTTTCAGTTGTTTCCAGTTGCTATTCATCCTACTTGTGTTTGCTTCCAATTATCGGCTCATTGTGTTCTTTGGCCTTTCTCTTTTCCGTTTTCCTTCAGGATTCCAAGCTAGGGTTTGCTCAATGATGCAGTTTGGTGATTTCTGTAATGTATTTCCTATCCACCTCCACCGCTTTTTCCTAATTTCCTCTACAGATGGAGGTTGGTTTGTTCTCTCCGACAGTAGGCTGTTGCTGATGGTATCCGGCCAACGTAAACTGAGTGTCTTGTCTAGACAATTGTTTAAAATACTTTACCTTTAAGTTGCATACTGACTCAATGGTCTAGAGTTTAAGTGTTCGTGCGCGAGACTAAGGGTCCTGGGTTCGAGTCTCACATGTGGGATCGTGGATGCGCACTGCTGAGTAGTTTCATACTAGAACGAAACGGCCATCCAGTGCTTCCAAGTTTTCAATGATGGTCTAACATTGGTCGGTTCGCGATCTTAACTGTTTATAGGTTGTTTTTTCCAAATTGTATTATTTCCGCTCTTCTGTTCAACTCTTATCACCAATATCAACCAATAATATGTAAATAAAACTATTTCTAGAGTAAAATACCTCAAACTTCACTGTCAGACATTAACAAAAACACCGTCTTATTTTAGTGGAGTTTTTTTCTCTGAGCTGGATGGTTTTCATCGTTCGTCTGAACAACATCATCAGCACAAACTTCACTCCATTCAAAAGAACGATGAAAGCTTCACGACAAAACCACCCAACTCAGAGAACAAAACTCCACTAAAATCATCCACCTAAGCTACAAGTCTTCGCCACCATCTCAACATTATTTTATTGTTATAATTTAGTTTAACAGTTTTGTTTTGAGATAACACTCTTTCGGGTTCACTTTTGTAAGCGAACAGTAACTATTGTATTCAGTATGTAACAAACGGTTCAAAGTAATATTAATAATGTTGAAATTATAGTCTTGGAAGTATTCCGTACTTCATTTCTTTTTTTATCTGAAACATATCATAAAATTTGTGTTATAAAACACATTATTTTTACTGTAGTTCTTTAATTTCCATTTATTTCAGGATCTGAATTATGCATTGAATGATCAATAATTTCAAAATAGAAATTCAATTTGTTTTCATTAACTTTAAAAAGAAACACTTAAATATTTTAACAAAATATAAAATTTTTTTATGATTCATCTTTATCTTTTACACAATAACAGTACTCTCAATTCCATTATATATAAGTACACATAACGCCTGGAGCTGTTGTCTGTTCCGAATGTGAACTATCTGGTGAGATAATTATCGGTGCAAATACTATTATTCATCCAAAAGCTCGTATATTCTCTGAAGCTGGCCCGATACATATTGGATCATATAGATATATGCATTTATATTCAATAGATCTTTATAAATTTATTTATTTTTCAAGTGAGATTTTAAACTGTACTTTCGCGCCAAATCTTTTTATTTTAGTCATGTTTATTACCTTCATTTATATTCACATTTTTCTACATGTAAAATGCATTTCCACTTATATTGCATTACACATTTGATTAACATGTACTTTACGTACAAAGAAATGCATTAAAGAATTTTTTTAAGAATTTCTATTTGTAACCGTATTCTGGACTTGATATTTTATAAAGATAGTAATTAATCTGTAAATTTTGTTAGTATTATCACATTAAATATGTACAGTATTACTATTATTATTGATGATTTCTTCTTAATTACTTGTTGACTGATGATGATGATTGTGATTTGTTTAAATGTGTGTATGTCTGTTAAACTGTTTAGTATAAATCTTATAGAATACAAAATGATACTTTGAAACTGACCTGACAGCGAGACTATAATTTATGGACGACCTTTGAGCGATGCTAAAGTGACCCTGAGAGTGTTCACCTAATAACTAGGGTTATAAACCAGCGTGAGTAATTAGAATTATGATTTACAGTTATTGGTTAGAGTTGGGAATTACATTTAGAGTTTTCATCACGAACTAATATAAGCTATAATGCCAAAACTCTATTTAGTCAAATGGATGAGTGAATTTCTCGCTAAACTCCGAGATCTGTTATCTTATATCTGATTGGTTCGTCAATAAATTATAGTCTCGCCGACGTGACAAATAACCTCAGTGTATGTATACTTCTTGCCGCTGAAGTCTTTGTATAATGAATCAAAAAGACGTATGTTTGTTATATACACTAAGTTATTTTTTTCTTTGATAAAGATATTCACATATCTATTGACTAATGTTTATCAGCTATCTGAGTTCTATTGCGTAATGATAAAAAACGGAAACTTTTTCAGGTATCTGAGTAGTTTCCACATCTTAACAATGGTTACATTTACGGATTCGTCAAATTACCACATTTACTTTTACGTATAAAATATATTTTTCAACATATGAAAATTAAGTCAGTTAGTGAATCAATTATTAACTTATAAAATTGACGTGAATGAGATCAATGTTGAAAAAATCAAACAAACACATAGATATATGGTGTTATTCAGATCAGGAATTGACCGGAACCGACCTTAATTTTAATTGAACCTATGTTGAATACTTCTACTAATTCTTGGAGTTTTGATATATTTTTCGAACTGAATGCGTGTTTGCTTACGTTTTCGAAATAACAAAACATTTTGATTGGATAAATTTGTAAACCTACTATTTGATGTTGAAATTTTAACATAATGTTTTTCATTTATATTGAAAATCAATGCAGGTTATTCGAATTTCTTCCAGTTCGAATGCTAAGCAGGTCGCTTACTAAGTTGTGAACCGTGTTTATCGTGAGTACATTGATAAATATGGTCGCTTCACTTGGTCAAACAAAACTTATAGAAATAACTTTAAGTCTATAGTATGATGTCTAATGTTCGAGTCCTGTGTGCGAGATCGTCGATGCGCACTGCTGAGGAGTCCCATACTAGGATGGAACGGACGTCCAGTGCTTCCAGGTTTTCAATGGTGGTCTATCTTAGACTAGATTGTGAATTAAACTGAAAATACTTCAATCTCCACAAGTGTTTATATATCTCAATCACAAGATCTGTCAAACTAAATCATTATGGACATCATTATGGTGTACTTCTAACAAATCACTTTGTCATCATCACATCATTTAACATAGCAACTTACTGTGTTTACCTACAACAGTCCAAATATGAACTCCATTAAATTAAATCATTTATATACTACTTCTACCCTGAACTGATCGGCTTTAGTTTCTTCGTTGACACTTCAAAATCCTCAAAACTGTGAAGAATTAGTTGTTCCAAACATTCTCCGATTGATTTTGTAAATTATAAGTTGATGATGTGATATCTTTTATTTTGTTTTATGTAGTGTAATGAAACCGGCTTCAGGTTTTACATCTTTTCGTAGTCAAGTACGCATAACACCTGGAGCTGTTGTCTGTTCCGAATGTGAACTGTCTGGTGAGATAATTATCGGTGCAAATACTATTATTCATCCAAAAGCTCGTATAATCGCTGAAGCTGGTCCAATAAATATTGGATCATTTAATTTAATTGAAGAACAGGTGGAAATTGTGAATAGAATTCCTGGTTCCATAATGAAAATTGGTGATTACAATGTGTTCGAAGTTAGTTGAACCAATGTCACACTGGTTCTCATTTATTACTGTTGTTTTGTTACGAGTTTGTCTATATGTCTACTTATATTAGTATATTTCCTATTTATGTTCTACCTACTATCATTGATTTATTTTTCCCACGAATTTACGTGAAATGTACAAACGATTAGTGTAGAATTGATTCTTCATTTACTATACTTATCATATAATCCATTAACGGTTATTTTTCCCCTCTTTATATTAAGGTAGGAGCACATTGTTATGCTTTAGAAGTTGGTGATAATAATGTTTTTGAAGCGAAGTGTCATATTGGATCAAATGTTAAAATAACCCATGGTTGTGTAATTGGTGCAATGTGTTCAATGGATTCCGGTGAAACATTACCAGAATGTACTGTTGTATACAGTGACGAAGTGAGTATTATTAAAACTATCATTTTTACTATGTATATCATCCATAAATATCATCTGCATAATAATAGTAATAATGTGTATTTGCATTATAAACTATTGGGTACATATCTTCAACCATAAAGGATTTTTAATAGTTATACTCTTACAATTTCTTCGTCACATAATGCATGTGCCAAGTATGTGAGATTGTTTGGTTTCTATATTTCGCTTTACGTTGGTAGCTTCTAGTGTTATTATGTCTCATTTTACCAAGAAGAGTATGCAAGTGAAGGTTATAATGTTATGATATAACTCAATTACCAAGTACAGATTCTTGTGCTTAGCTTTAAATCATATTTCGTATGTGACGGTTGGTGATACAACATCACTACTACATGTTCCATCTGCTCTTCTAGTTAGTTGGACATCTAGAAATGATATGCTATTGTTCTGTTCTTCCTCTAGTGTAAAAGTAACTGATGCATGAATGTTATTAAATATATTAAGAAAATTCTCCTTGTCATGTTCTTTTTCTAATATTATGAAAGTATCATCTATATTGTGACAAATAAGATGTTAGATGGCTAATTCTGCCTTTAAGTGGTCCATTTTACTGTTCAGCGAGTTATATGGGGCGTACAATTCGGCAAGCTCATCATCGTATAACAGAACACCATCCGTTGTAGTTTAGCAAAGGCCAAGTAAGAGTGATTAAGAGTTCTATTCTCGCTCACCTGGTGGACACAGGTCATCAAGTTGAACTGAATAAAACTTTTAAGGTTATCCACCATATTCCATGAAATTTACTGCATGGTTTACGAGTTCGTCTTTTGCGTATTACTGAAGCCATCGCAATCCATGTTCACAAACCAAACCTTTGCATCCGAAAGAAGTTTGTACAACCACTCTCGCTAGCTTAGTCATCAGTATAGGGGAGTTTGTATCAGAACATTGATAAACTAATTTCGTATTTCTTCTATTTTTTGTATTTTACTTATTCTCAACATTCGTCTCTTGATTTTTACATAACTCTATAGTACTGACCATTCATCAAAATATTTTGTTAATTCCTTCTTCTGTCTTTACATATTATGCATCATAGCAACTGCTCGACGTTCGAATAATTACTTCCAATTACTCAATGTTAGTTTATAATCGATACGCCATTATATAATTATTACATAACGTATCCACTCGATGAGTATTATATATATTAGTGTAGAGCCATGATGAAAAGCTAATTGAAAAGAAATTTTTTTCCTCGATTTGTTCATTCTTTATTTACCAAATGTCAAAATGGGAATTTTCACTATATTAAAAATATGTTCAGATCACCCAATTTTATGTAAACCAAGTGTTTTAGTAGAAAGTGGCTAGTCCTAGGAAAGAAAAGAGAAACACAAGTTCAGATACAGCGAACGACAATGTTTTGGAGTCCCAGAGTGAACATCAACTCTAGGATGCATGTACATTTTGCGAATGAGTCCTAAATTAACCGAAACGTGCGTTCTGGGTTCCACTACTTCTCTTCTTAGAAGGGTTCTAAATCTAAAAATCAGTCATTATATGTTGTATGATCATTCACTAAACAATCTGTCCGTCATTACTGATTACAATAACCTGACAAAATAAAATATCCCTCTGACCCAATTACATTCAGTTCAGCGCGTCATTCATCCTGATTTTGATCAGTGATTACACAACTTCCTTTTTTGTATCCAGTCGAAAGCAATCGGTTTAACTATATTTTATACATACGTATTTGATTTTATCATTTTCTTCACTCAACATTTTTCTTCTGATACTTGTCTATAAGATCCTATGTGAATAGTGTTTACTTTCATAAAGTGATGATTTACTTAGTGAAGCGTTGAATATCAGTCCGCTCAAGGCAGCCGTTTCACTCTTGTTTGGAATTCCTCACTGAGCTTGAGTATTTCAGATTCCGTTCAATGTAAGACAGTAAGTGAGTACTGTTGAGCGGGTTAACAGTATATCTCCCTTTACCAGTGTGTAGGTAATGTCTCATCCTTTTGATGGCGAATACTTCAACAATTCAGAGTACATTATTTTATGATGATTACGAAATTACTTATTCTTCAACCTAATTGTTTGTCACTCTTCGTAGAACATTTGCCTCACTATATTGTACAAATGAATCCAGTTGGATTTACTTTGATCATTTTTACATTTATATGTTCTGTTCTTGATGTATTATTAAAATTAATGAAAAGAAGTAAATATTTTTATAACACAAATATCATCTAAGTTACCAGTTGGAAACCTGTTCCACCCAACTCGGTTTAAACAACTGAACGATATCATTAATACCGCATAAAGAAGGTGTGGTTCATAGTCGAACACACAAACTTTTACATAGTTACGAAGTTAATTCACAACAAAACTTGAAAAAGTCAAACTTAATAATTATCTTAAATTTAACCATCGCGATAACAAATTGTATTCGAAACATTATTCAGTAAATATTATTGTTTCTCTTCAACTGATCGTTGAGTAGTAACCAACCAATTGTAAATGTATCACTCCTATAGGGTGTCGATCGTTTCTCGAATAGCTTAGTAGTAATGTTGAAAGCTATGAAAACTGGGTTTAAAACCACCAAGAGGCATTAATTTCCTGAGGACTGCAGATACGCCTTACCATTGAGTACCAACTAGCACGAGAACTAGGTTTAAGGTTCCTTGCCGACTACTTTCATACATTTAACGTTATTATTTCTTTGTTTAACATATTTAACGAACAAACTAAGATAGAACTACACTATCATGTGGTCTACATTCATTTTTCCTACATTAATGCGAATCACTAAATAGCATTGTAGGAAATTGTTTCAAAGTCATAGAGCAGCGTTTTAGCTAATAGACATTAACGACAACACCAGTCAGTCATCAACATGGACTCGAGTACAAGTGTCCGTGTATATCTGTCCAAATGACCGCACCTCAGATCAACAAAGTAAACGAAAACGAACAAAATGAAAAGTATAGAATGAAAAATTATATCGAAATGAAGGAGGATCTAAATATCCTAAACAACATTCAAAACGATTCGATCGCAAGATGGAACTGTAAGAGTAACACATCTTTATAACACCAAATTGTTTAATAATAAATCTAGTAAGTCACTGATTAAATAGATTAGGGAAAATACAAATTTTCCGTTGTTTTTTGATGTGATGGAGTAAAAAGATGACATTATTTGACTCAGTGTTTTTTGCATTAATTCATTAGAGTTTTGGCCGTAGTGGCAGGGGCCAACTTTGTTCAATGTGGTATTTTGAGGTCAATATTCTCGTGTATCAATTTAGTATTAACTTTGTTCTAGGTAACAATAGTGAACTCTCGTTCAGTGTAACAATTTTATTCCCTGTATTAATTCAGACGAGTTGTATTTACATTAACTCCATGCAATACTATTAAATTTATGTGAAATTTGGTATATAAATGATTTTAATGTGGTCTAAGGATGATATGATTTTGGGACTTTTTGGGAGACGTGTTTTGCTAAGTCAATACATCTACATTGCACCAGTCTTTCATATTTTCACTTTTCATCCTGGGAATTATAGTTAGTTCCCGTTTTCCAGTGTAAGCACTGGGATCGAGAAATTTCAGTGGTTCCCGATTGTCAAATAAAAACAGTAAGGATGCAGATTCAACCGAGTTGATACGCACATAACAACAAGGACTCTGCAGATGTAACAGTCGACTGTACATTAGTGCTGATGGAGCCAATTTTACAGTTATAACAATTTGTTGTTTCTGAAATAAGCCTACATATTTATAAACTTTAAGTGTTTTTTTAGGAATATATTTCTATTTGTTTTAATTTCCTTTAGGGTAATCGTCGTATTGCAACTGAACGTCCAGCTGCACAAACATTACAATTAGATTTTCTAACAAAAATTCTACCAAATTATCATCATTTAATGAAAGCTAGTCGAACTTCCACACCAAAACCAACTGAAAAACAATAACATATCCTACATTTGTGTGTTTCTTTCTTTCTTATCTCTTGTAACTGACTTATTTGAAACGTTATACAAAATAGGTGGAATGTTTAATAAATATAATCTCCTTTTGAACTTATTTGTTAATTTTGAAATGGTATCTGTTTTCTTGCCAATATACACTGAACTGTGTTATTGATGGTGTAAAACAATAAATCTGTACAAATAAATATTAATATTGTTTGGTTGTTGTGTTTTTTTGGTATATTTTTGGTTACTTAATCAATAGACAAATAAATAAATAATTCATATCAGAAGGATTTTTGTGAATATTATAGTAATTTCAGTGGTTGAGATCATGAGTCAACTGAAGCTAGACCACCATGGAAAACCTGGAAGTGCTGGACGGCCGTTTCGTCCTATTAAAGTTCGAATCTCGCGAGGTGGGATCGTGGATGCGCACCACTGAGGAGTCCCACAACAGGACGAAATGGTCATCCAGTGCTCCCAGATTTTTCATGATGGTCTAGCTTCAATTGACATATGATCTGAACCATTGAAATAAATAATCCACACATTTTGTTATTTGTCTTTTCTTTTTACTAATTTAAAATTATTTAGTGTTCAGTGAAATGCAATTATTGAACTATAGATATTTCATTGTCGAATAGAAAGATTTAGATTAGCATAGTTAGTGTGGTAGTTTACATTACCGACTAGTCTATTGAATGAATGAATAAAACTTTTTTCCTTCTTCATTTCAAAGCCCGTGAAAAGATATTCCATGCACAAATTAGTTCTTGTATAATGAAGAATTGTCATTCTTCATTTCCCTTAAGTAACTGGAAGCTGACTAATTAATGCACTTGTTAAACCAAACGACTTGAATTCATGGTTCTTGTCTGATAAAAAAAAACTAATTTCGGCAAGAAGAAAAGGGGGTTGCTCTAATTACATCCAGCTAATATATAATGGTTGTAGAATTTTTAGCATTTATGTACAATAGTATATAAATTTTTTGTTGCTCTTATTGATTTTGTTATTCCGTCGAATCTAGTACCCGTTCGTATTTCTCCTACTATGCTTTAAATGCAATTGATGGAATGGTATTAGTTTATTTGTGAGATATTTTTGTCATATTAAACATTGTTCGTTACTTACTCTATGGCGTTTTGTAGAGACTGTTAGGTTTCCTAGATTGCTTCACAAAGTTATCAAAGTTAGACATCCATCGGAAATCTGGGAGCGTTGGTCAACTGTTTCGTCCCACTATGGGACTCCTCGGTAGCGCGCCTCTATAACACCATCGGAAGTTAAACCCAAACCTTTGAGTCTCTCGGTGATTGACTGGTCTCTAAACCACTGAAACGAGAGACCTGAAGATGATGAGCTTAATCTTCGATGAAGTCGCAGACGTACACCACTGAGGAGCTCCATAATAGGACGAAACCGCTATCCAGTGTTTCTTGGTTTCCAATAGATGTTTAGTTTGTGGCTACATTCATTAGTTTCATTATTAAGGTTTCGAATGCTTTTGTCAAACCACAGGTTTTTTAATTTTTGTATATCAAAAAAATATTTAGATACCCATATAAAACGTAATGAATACTCGACTCATACCAGATGAAACTATATCAGCTTTACCTGGAGAAAGTGGAAGTATTGCTGAAGCAATTGGACCCGTTGAAGGATTAGCACAACCATCCTCAGGAGAAACGGTAGATCGGCGTAATGCAATCGCTTTAACTGCAGCTTTCAATTTCACTGGTACAACACCATCAGCTAATGGCGCAACCATGCAAGAATACTTTGTACAAGTTAGTATTTCTTTAGCAATTTTTCAAAGTTCTTTTTTAGTGTAACATTTTAGGATCAATTACTAACTTATTAGGTATAAGGACATATATCGAACTCGTAATTACAGTGATCATTCAGTAGAAACAAAACAATCATAAAGCGAAGACCAGTAGATGTTTTCAGTGATAGACAACGTTGTCAAGCATTAAACAAATATATAGGAGAGGAGTCCTGCGTCGCGAGGCGGGATCATGGATTCGCACTGCTGAGGATTCCCATACTAGGACGAAACGGTCATCCAGTGCTGCCAGGTTTTCCATGGTGGTCCAGCTTTAATTGACATAAATTCAACTGCGACTTTTCAATACCTTAATTAAGTTGTCTCTACATAATGAGAAGACAATACTACTAATTAATTATTTATTCCGTAAGCTGAACGAACATGAAGAAATACTTAGCTTTTGTTATTTTCTTATACAATGACCTGTTTTATAGCTAATATATTCTTCTAAAATGCATATGCACTAATCCCGATGTTTGAGAGAGGTTATATATTACATAACTATACAAATTTCATAAATAAATCAAACTTTTTATCCTTTTTTTCAATCTCAATGTTCAATAGACAGTGGTTTCATCTCCTATTCAACATGAATTATTATTGAATCGATTGCATGGTTTATGCCGTGAATGGACAGATTTCTGTGATCAAGAAACTATATTCGAAATAGGAAGTGATAATCGAACTGATACAAATAACCTTATAGGTATGAACAGATCATCTGGAAATACATCCGCTGCCGTTGGCGTCTTAGCTGCCACTGCATCAGGTAGTGCTACTGTTACTATACGTGTTCGTCGAAGTCTTTTAAGTAGAGTAAATAAACCTGGTCGAGAATTTTCTGTTCTACGATATTTAGGAGCCGTAGAAACTGATAAAATAGTAAGTTTATATATATCAGTGAAAATATCTACTATGCAATTGAATATCGGATTTTGGGTCGTGCTTAAACTAAATTACATAACATACCTACTCTTAAGGTAAATTGTTTGTTAAGGTACATGATGTCGTTCATTGTGTAATTAAGACTGTTTAGTAAAGCTAGATAATGCTCTCCCAATCTTACTTTCACTAGAAATCTTAACTCTAAGTTCCACAGGTTTGTAAACTGGAAGATAGTAAGGTATTGCATTATAGCCGGTGTCAGTTCGTGTTAAAAATACTGATCTTAATTTGTAAACCTAGCTCGAAAGTTCAGTTTAACTCTTAACCTTTTATCCATTATAACGGATGGTGTGATTACCCAACTCACAACATTAACCCGACTCCCAGTACGTATACGTGTAAACATGTCCTTTTTTCTGTACTACAACGGAAAATTTAACTTGTGTGCGTTAATTATTACTATGAAAGCCGTTATTCCATTACTTTGTATTGTTAGTAGTTTTATAACTAAGTAGCATTTCCTGATTGGCTAATAGGTCTACCAAGGTCTTCAGTATAATATGTGATCGTTAATGGGCACTAGTAAAGAATCCTAAACTAGGATAAATCAGCTGTTATGTACATCCGGGTATTGAATGATACATCAGCCAATAACATAACCATTTAAAGACTAATCTTCATATATCTGTCAACCATATGATATTATTACGTTGAAGTATGTAGGAATAGCGTAATTAGAATTTTTATCGAAAAAACTACTTAAGAAGGAATAAAAAATTTCCTTGAACAACCGATGATTAACAGTCGTCGGTTTGCAAAAATAATTTAACGTCTTCGGTCAACTGTATCCTCTACATACAGATGACTAGGATAAGTATAGTTCCGCAGCATTTGAACAAATGATAGAATAATAATTGGTCATATGCACATATGCGTACCGTATATGCTTCGATTTCATTCTTCACGTTTTTTTTTTACCGTAGTTAGTTCTAGTACATATAAGTCTACCTGTTGTCATGTACACTCAGGTTGTAAGTAAAGTTATGTCTGGTTAAAAAGAAAACACTATCAGGACTTTTGATTAAGCTATTCTGCTTGTATGGAATTTCAATCTATTGATTACATGTCGTTTTGTAATTGTTTATTTAGACCTGCCGTATCATTGTATGCGCATATTATTACAAACATGTGTGCTGATTGATAGTTGAAACTAGTTTTTTTCTAATTAGGCTCAAATATTGACTAGCTATTGGGTAATCAGTATTGAATAATTATTAACCCCTGTCCCAACTTTTTCAGTTGCTTTACGTCGATTAACCTCAACACTATCTCCTTAAATTATTATTCTTTTTAACTGATGAAGTCAGTCAGTCAGTAACAACGTAGAACTTCGTACGTACGTACGTACATCAGTTCGAGTTGCCACACCACATTAGCACAGAGATGCACTTGTCGATTCAAATCCCATAGTGATAGAGGTAATAAGAGTATAAGCAGTACTCGGGAAGATTAGGGTTTGGAGATGTTATTTATAGAGTATAATCCAGTGAAAGAAATTTGGAAAGAGGAAAAAAGGGACATGAAGAATTCAGAAGATTAGTATTTGGGAGAACACAGAGAGTGGATGCACCTGCGCCATTGCAAACGATTTTGAGCCATGTCATTCAGGGTCTCTAACCATCGGTTGCTGTCATCTCGCGGTCCCCAACCAGGTAGTCTACACCTACCAACATGACTCAGTTCACTTGTCAGTGACTTCATGGACTTGTGCCATGTTTTGGTTTGGCCGCCCCTAGCTTTCTTCCAATCTACTCCTATACCACTGAACATAGCACGTCGAGGCAGTCGGTCGTTGGGCATACGTAACACGTGTCCCAGCCATCTCAACTGATGAAGTTTCACTACTTCATCAATTGATTTGCCATCCTTACCTAGTACCCGTTTCCTAACAACTGTGTTACTCGATGGTCCCATGATATACGAGCAATGTTTCGAAGACACCTATGATCAAATACTAGTAACCTACGGATATCCTCTACTCTTACCGGCCATGTTTCACTGCCATAAAGTAGGACGGAACGAACTGCTGCGCAGTAAACACGTCCTTTGGTTGATAGACGGATATCTCGCCTACGCCATAAATGACGCAAGTTGGCAAAAGCTAGTCGAGCCTTCTGTATCCGTGCTGAGATTTCGTCACACACCAGACCACAAGGGCTGATCAGACTTCCAAGATAAGTGAAGCGGTCGACACACTCAACTACTTCACTCCCTATCACTAGTTCGGGTGTCGATGTAACCCAATCCTGAAGCAACATTTTGCATTTCGAGGGAGAGAATCGCATCCCGAGCATGCTTGCATGAATGTCGACTACCGTTCTCATCTATAAGCTTTTGTTTTCATCATGAGGACTTTAGAACTAATATTTGGCTATACATTCACTAAATAGACCTTTGGTTCTTTTCTGTTACCTTACGAGTCAATTGTGTGTGGCCATAATCCTAGCAAAGCTTGGTATTGCGTGATGGCTAAGTAGGTTAACATCTGAGGTTATTCTAAATAAGAGAAATCGAAATGTGACCGTTTTATTGTTACGAACTGATAGTATTTTGATGTGCCTTAAGCTTTGTCACATCATTCTGTTTATTGCTAAGCATGCTACTTATCTCATTAGAGCATTCAAAATTTTTTAAACACAGATGGATAGAGGATAGCAGTGGAATTCAGGACGTGTGTTTCATCCTATTCGAGCTTCAGACGGATGCACCTGCCTCCCGCAGTTGATGTTCACTCCGGGACTCGAACCCGGTACCAACCGATTCAAAATTCATCGCGATCTCACTGTTAGCCACAATCTATTTCTGCTTTAATTATTTTTAACGTAACGGTAATATCAAGTCACTTAGCACAGGATGCCTATTTACCCGAAGAGACTGATCAATTGCTGTTCTAAACATCAGTGGGAAGATACAAACAACCAACATATATGGATTAAAAGAATTAATCTCTTATGACAACTAACAAATATATATAACATAATGAGATTCACTGGCTTCTACCATTTACATTCTATCGACCTCTTCTCAGACAACGTCGTTTGTTATTGATCAAAAGTACTTTTATACTTTATTATTTTGTAATGGTATTTCATGTTTTGTATTATTTTTTCCCATATCACTTCTCTGCCATTTTTAATTATGATTTCAGATTTTACGACGTAGTTGTCTTGAAATGCCGGTTACTGGACCAATCGTTAGTTTTCTATATGATTTGGGATTTGACTATGAATCTACGTTTGTTGCTGAAGGTCAAGAATTTATTCGTGGACGTGTGAAAGTTTTGGTTTATACAGTTAATGAAATAACCAGCTTTCAAAGTATTGCAACTTCAAACGCTATGGGATTTGGTTTTGATGGACAGGTTAGTTAGTTTTTTATTATTATGTAATCAAAGATTGATGTTCTCATAAAAGTAAGTGTTTCTTATTATTTCTTTATGCATGAACTCTTAACTGTTTTCATATTAAAATGTTATATGTATAATGTAAACTTGTTAGCCTTTTAACTTCCAATCTAAATGAGACTTCATATGACAGTGTACTTATGATAAAGAATGAAAACCTATTAATTAAGATCTGTATTTCTGTGTTAATTGTTAACTTTTCTAAATTACACTTACCTTTAAATTTTGTTACAAAGTTGTAGCTTCTAATTCTAACTGCGTTCTAACACTCACATAATATTAGGGAAATGCTGTTTCAGTGAGATTATAATTTATGGACGACCTTTGAGCGACGCTGAAGTGACTTAAGTGGACACCTACTGAATATGACTAAATGAGGGTTATAAAGCAGTTAGAATTCTCATTCACAGTTGATGGTTAGGGTTAAAAATTAGATTTAGGGTTTTCATCACGAATCGACATCAGTTATAATACCAAAACTCTATTTAGTCAAATGTATGGATGGATTTCGCGCAAAAATTTATGACTCGTTATCTTATATCTGATTGGTTTGTCCATAAATTATAGTCTCACCGCTGTTTCATTAAAAATGAATATTTTTTAACAGTTAAATTCACAAGCCAATCTAAGCTAGATCACCATTGAAAACTTGCATGCACTGGACGCCCGTTTCATCCCAGTATGGGCCTCATCAGCAGTGCGTATCTATAATCCTGCCCGCGAAACTCGAACTCAGGACCTTCGTTCTCTCACGCGAATGCTTAACATCTAGACCATTGAGCCGATATCTAATTAAGGTTTTGCTAATTATTTTTATGTAATATTTCAACAGGTTAAGTTAATTGACCTTAACGCTCAAAAGTAAATGGGTTCAAACTCAATTATTATTTTAGTTGATTTTAAAATACTCAAAATCCGATAGAATAAATCTTAATTATCTTGTGCCTCGGAGTTTGTTATCATAGTCTTTTAAAATTGCGTTTACCAGAGTATCAATTAAAACTTTCTCATATTGTTAAGTAAATAAGGATTACTATATTAATCAGGTAAGTTTGCCACCTTTGATTGAACAATTTCATTGTATTAGATTTAAAGTCAGTCAGTTACAACGTAGAACCAGGCACATATATGCCATGCCTCATTATCACAGAAAGACGAACACCAGATTCATAGAAGCAGTTAACTCAGTGTAATATATACAAGAAAGATTCTATGTAAGGATATAGTACAGAAAGAAAGAATTAGTTCGTAGAAAGATAGATATGGAACGATTTTAATTTCATAGTATAAGGGAACATAGAGAGTGTATACATGTTTATATAATTAATAAATATATAAACGAATTACTGATAGAATTTTTGACTGAACGCCTGAATCGGTTTCCTAAGCTAAATCTACACGACAATTTGAACACGAAAGAAAAGGCGCGAAATCTATGAGAGACACGTTACTCCAAGGTTAGTTTATGTACAGAAAATTGAGGGTATTTAGAGTAGTTCGGATGGCCTTGGGCTTCAGAACCCTGCTAAACATGGTAGCAAGATAGAAATGTGACACGTGACCCTTCACTCTCTAGATGTTTCTGAGAAGCCTCTCTTCAATGCTGATTGGATAAAATGTTTCACAGGGTTTTCTCTAGGAATTTTCTGGATCTCCCCAACGATTACTATCCAATATACTTCCATGCTGTTAGGACTTATATCTGTTCAATAGTTCTTATTAGAAACATTATTATAACTGGATATTCTCATTACCTTTTATACCGTGATAAATATTAATGATAAGAAGCTCTAATATATATATATATATATATATTTCAATTAACTTTAGGGATTAGCACCCAAAGATTGGCGACGTTTATGTTCTCGTAGTTGGATGGTAGAGATCAGTGTAGTTGGCAGTCCTGCTGATGATCATTTACAAGAAGAAATTACAGATTTTGTTGAACTACTTCATCCAATTATTGTACCAACAAAACTTGATAGCAATTTGTTTACTCGTAAATGTTGATAATTTTGTGTGCTTTTCTTTTATCTACTTTTTATCGGGTTTTGTATAAATCGTTCATATTCTTTTTTAAAAATTGTATTCATGTATGTAAAAATACAGAGTTTATTGATATGTACAAAAAGCACTTTTACACAAGTTGAATTACATCAAAAGACTGACAATAATAAGTAAATTGCATAAGGGTGTGGGAAGCCTTTATTCTATGCAAGGATGATAGTGCATCTGGTCAACCACAACAAAGTGCTCGTTCTGGATTCTGCTACTGGCCACTACAAAATATCAGTGATGACAGCTGAGTCATTTACAGAAATGAAGAAGAAAAAGTGGTTGCGTGTCAAGCATTAGGTTTCATTTAACCAAACTTGAAAAAATGCACAATGGCAATATTTTGAATTGTCAACTTGTAAGGACTGTGTTGTATGCTACTTGCATTAATAGATATGAGTAGTATGTAGTCGCAATCGAAGTTCCCAAATACCCTGGTACGGCTGAGTGGGGAGAGTCCGCTCTCCCTCTCGAAACGCTCCCACATGGCCACGCGTATATAGCTTCTTCCAGGGAAGTCCTACTCACTGCCTCCTCGTGGCGGGGGTCTTGTTTACGAAAAGCGAATCTCCGGCGCTCTAACCGGGCCAGTGGACACGGTGAGTCCACCTAGGGGAGTTGGGAAACCCTAATTCCAAACCAATGGTGCACATGGGCTCCAGTATCCTGAAGGAACAAATGGCATATGGACCAATCGTTGATCACCGGCTACCATGGGATTGCATCTCCTTACGATGCTAAACTGCCCTGTGGATCAGACCTTTAGGTCGAAGGCTCCGAGTGTGACTTCCCAAGAAAACCGCCTGCTTCGGTTTGGGCACCCGGGCAGTATCACAGCCCTCACACATATCAAATGAGATTTGTGTGGCGCATATGTATTTGGTGCCTCCTTGTACCAATATGTGTGCTAAAATAAAGAATAAATAAAATAAGTCGCAACCGGATATGTAATGCCTGTCAGCAGAAGTCTGCAATGTCGAGAGAAGGAAGGCATTCTGACAGCATCGAAATAACAACGAAATTAGAGTATTAACTGAATATGTAAAAGACAATTGGTGAGTGATATGCATTTAATGTGTAATCCCCATATTTTACTAAGCCATTGTGTAATCTTGTATTAAACAGTAAATTGTTTTTCCCCACCTGAGTTCTCATTCGCTTGAATTGTACATTGTTTTAAGTTGTTGCAACATGAGAAATCAACAGGAAATAGAATTGTAGCCCGGTAGTAATAAATAATGCAAAAGATCAGTGGGAGCGTATAGCGAAAGGCCTTGGGACACTATTAATTTGTTCTATTAGCATGAAAAACTGTCGCAACTGCTCCACGACAGATTTCAATGACTTTCTACATTTATTATTCAGTCATATTAAAAATGCGTAAGATAGAATCGCATCCATGCTTCTCCAATCCATACTTGATAACTTGTGATCAAATATAATGAAAGATACTTACCACTATTGATTATATTTAGGGGATTGTGGGTCTATTTCTATATTCCATTAAGACTGTTCATTTGTTGAAACATAGTGGACTCCAGTTGGTTGGACCATATTTGTCTTCGACGACAATAGTGTTATTGGTTGGACTGTAGTACAGACATATGAAAGGAATAAAGTGTATGTATGCATTTCCTGTAATTTTCTCATTTTTGTATAAGCCAGCTCTATATTGAGTCAAAGCATCCTCAGTATTCCCTAATACACTCTAAACCACGCGATAGTCGCACTATATCAGTAAGATTCTCTTTCGCTTCACTGGACATACTCATTAGATGATATGGTTGAGATAGCAAGGGGGCTATATCGTTAAGATATATGGCTTATCACGAAGTTCATGTTGCAATACATCACAAAACAGGCTTTCAGAAAAATACCCATACGGTGATTGTTAATGTAAATCCACTGTCATAAATAATTGAGTTCTTATTTTGATGCACAGTAGTATACTGTATTTATGGTAAAATATCTCGTAGAGGATGATGTCTCGTTGGATTTCCCTCTAATCAATACCTCTAAGTAGAAAATTCAGATGCGAAAGGAAACTGAACACCCATGCAAATTACATGGTTCTTTCATTATTGGATTTATTAAAAAAATTTAACTACACCTATGTAAGCTTTTATGCTTAGATTGTATATACCATGGGGATTAGTTGTTTGCGAGTTAACACAACATGCCTTAGATCGATTACCGTTATGTAGATGAATCTAGAACTCTGTGCACCATCTCCTTTGTCTGCCTACTTTTAACTTAATGACTGTTAAAAGGTGTGAATGTAGTGTCGGTTCCTATGTTAAACCCAAATAACTTATTCTACCTTCTGGACAGGCCAATTTGTCCATTCCACTTGAGTCACGTTTCGACTTTGTTAATTATCCACTTATCGCCTTGACTGTTTTTATAGAAGCGTGTGTGTGCACTTCTTATTTCACTCATCACATGTATGTAACTTATTTTCGTGTGACTATTAACGCTTGATTAGATGGTCTTGGCTCATACGCTTTCTCCACTGCGCATCATTTCGTTTCGCTCCTTTCTCTTCGCACTTGTGATTGTCTGTCCGTTTCGATGAATGTACAAAATATGTATTCGAAATCCATTCTCGCATTTGACTTATTTTAATTCAGATATACCCACTAACACGATCTAAGTCGATAACTATATACGAGATAATCAGAATATATATATTATCAATAACAAACATACAATCTAACTGGAATCAGATCTTGGGCCACTAAATGAGAATATCAGATGAAATTCTAAAATATTCAATTGAACCTATAAAAAATGTAGCCAATGATTATTCATATTTAAAAATATCAACAGTTGACACGTTGAGTATTCAAGAAGAAACAATGAACTAGTGATCAGTTACAATGGTAAAAAAAATAGTTAAAATGAAGAAACCTACATATATATATATATATATATATATATATATATATTCTTTTTATTTTATACATGTAATAATGTTTAGAAAAGGATAATGTATGGTTCTTTCGTAGTGTGGAAGTAACAAAGAAGTACAATAGTAAATAAATCAACAGAGGGGTGTATTATTATTAATTATATTTTAACTAGACATATCTCGAAATGATGATAAAAGATTGGGTAAAAATCCTTTACGAGTAGATCCTCCCATGTCACAAAGTCGATTATTATTATTATTATTATGTGAATTAGGTGTTATTTCTGATGAACTCATATCTGTAGTTAAAGATGTGAAGTAATTTGTACGTGTTTCACTATTATTTTCAGAAGTATTATCCCAATCCGATAGAAACGATGAATAGATGTCGTCAGAAAGATTGAAAAGTAATCGTAGAACCTAAACACAATACATTTACATAAAAAAAAAGTATGTAAATAATAATAATTATTATTTTCAATACTTCAAATAAACAAAAAGTGAAGTTTTGGAAAGACAAATTAAATATAAATCACAATATACAGTAATATTGTAATAAACAAAGACTTGGTGAGGACAACCAATTTAATGTTTAGTGCAAAATTACACAGTGGCTTGGTAAAATATGAAAATTATACATGAAATAAATCATTTGCACATCTTCTATCAATTGTCCTTCGCTTGCTCAATTATTCCTCTAAGTCTATTTTTATTTTCATTCCTTCTGGATTTCCTTTATGTTCTCTTCAATTCAAGCTTCCATCTACGATTACAGCTACATACTACTTATATCTGTCAGTATAAGTAGCATACACCAGGATGCAAGATTTGATTATACTATTCTTTAAAAGCTGAACACTATTAAATTCAAATAAACTTGTTCTAGTCTATACGAATAGATTTTTTGTGATAACCAAAGATTGGATGACATGATATATTAGATACTAGTAACATATTTTTGTAAAACAATCTGAATATACCATCAAAATCTTGATCATTTGTTGGATTCTCTATAAATCGCAAGAATTACTATTGATGCTATATTGAAGTTGAATTTCTTGAATTTATCAGGTTAATTAAATAATAAATTAACAATGAGAAATTATAACTCATTTGAACAATGTAACACTATGTATGGTTCTAATAACATACTTAAAGTGAGATATTTAATCAAATCTTAGAAATGATTAAATAACACAAATTAATTAGTTCTCACGACGGGGGGTGTTGTTTAGGAAACTGAGAAGACGGCGCTTTAACCAGGCTGGTGGACACGAAGGGTTCACTTAAAGGAGTTTGAAAACCCTGATTCCAAACCAATGGTGTACAAAGGCTCCAGAATCTCGAGGTAACAAATGGCGTATGAACCTATTGTTGATCACCTGTTACCATGGAACTGTATCTCCTAACGCTGCATCACTGTTTTGTGGATTAAATTTCTAAATTAACGACTCGGGAAGTACCCCCCAAGAAAACCACTTGCTTTGGTTTGGGCATCCAGGAAGTATCCTAACCCTCACGCAAGTCGAATGGCGAAGCGTGGCACATATATATTTGGTGCCTCCTTGCACCAATGATTATGTGTTCAAATAAATAAATAACGCGATTATGAAAATGATAATTGATTTACACTGATAAAATATCTTTCATTGGTTAACTTAATACTGTAATAAGGATTAGTTAAACTCAAAAATGAAACCGTCTAATCATCAATTCAATTGAATGCCTTGTATAGAAATATAACACATTACAAAACCCTGAAGTAATTATTATTCATTATTAATGCAGATGGATTAAATGTTAGGAAAAAACCCAGCAACTTCCTATTGTTAAATAAACCTACATCTTGTTGTGGTTTCGTTTCAGAGATAGCTTGCATAACTTGAGGCTCTGGACAAGAATAACCAACTAATGTTGGACCAAAAACTTTTGCCAAATTATCTTCACCCATTTGACATAGTGATGTTTTAGACACAGCCTATGAAACAAAAATGATTAAAGGAGTTTAAGCAAAATGATAAGAAACTTTTAGAAAATCAATTGAAAAGTTAAGAAAGACACTAATAATAAATTTTACCTTTAAGTGAAGCATAATGAATGACAAAGTATGTCGATTAGGTGTCGGTAAATTTTTCAAGACATTTAAAACACAATCATATGCTTTTGTAGGATTAGTTAGATACTGTTCACTAGCTCCGACAAAATTCGGTCTTTGAAGGTAAGTTACCAAAGGTTCTTCTAAACTTCTCAAAAACAACTTTAAACACCCACAGACTACATGAATATCTTCTATTAATGCCAAGCTTGGTGTACTTCGACTGCGTAGGAATTTTTCATATAAATCTAACATACAATAAAGCAGAAGGGAATATAAGAAACACTTTAGTAGTAAATAGAAGTGTAATAGTTTATTTAAGCCACTGGTAACATGTTCATTAGTTTGTAAACCATGTGTGAAACGTTAACTAAAGTGTATACATATATAACTATGATTCAAATTAATTGTGTAACTCCATATGTTACTAGAAACACAAACATATTTACATACTCGAGTCTAGATTAGTATAAGCTATCAACCATTCATGTACACGTGTAGTAAACACAAACACCAGTTGGGACAATCGAATGTATTTGACATTAAATTACAGAGCATCTCAATAAAATCTGAGAACCATATAGTAAATCGTTAATTTGCAAAATATCAATCCATCATATCAAACTTGACTGTTCCTGTTGCAAACATCGATCCATTGTCTCAGATTTCGTTGTTCATGTGTTTTCATACCAATCGCGTTCCGTTCCGGTTCTTTCCTCATCGATCTACTGAAACGTATTCTATGCCTGACCACCGTTATATACTACTTGTGTGAATATAAGTAACCCACACTGCACACGTTTGCATAACAGACTAAGCGACCACCTTGTAATCACCCTTTCTTCTTAATTCTAGATAATATTGTACGTAAATACAGTTGAAATAGGTCGATGTTATCCGAACGTTAAATAAAAACTACTTATTCACATGAATATTGGATTAAGGTATTGGCTACAAAAAAAGTTCTCTAACACTGTAAGATAACTTGGGATATCTACAAAGCACTTATTAAAATGATATCACTTCCGTTTTGGAGCGTAGCCATGAAAATTTTGATAACTGAATAAATTGCATACTACTAATCATTTGCCGTTAAAATGAATAAATTTCTTCACTTCATTTATGTCGACTAGCTAACAACAATATGCGACATTCTATTTGATACGCTAGGCCAATCATACAGACCAAACGATGAGAGCACGCTATTTGTCAGGATTTGACTTTCTTTTCTAAGAGACAAAAATGTATGAGTTTACACATATATCTCCACTTTAGTATTCGTTTACTTCTCACTCACGATCTTATCACTCAAGTAGCTGGTTGAGCTTGATTATAAAAAGCTTCTATATCAGTATTAGAAACGGACGACAGCACAACATAACAGTTGCCGATGCCTTATTAACGATAATCGTGACTAATACAAGATCCAGACAAATTACATCCCAACAAATGAAACGCTTTTTATATGCTTCGAGTTATGCACTTGACTGAGTCGAGAGACAACAACAAATCGACCATATAGGTGCCCATAATTTTGTAATAGACTGATGATAATTAATATAACCATTCCGTCAGCAAGAATGTTACGATAAATTATCTTTTAATCTATTCAACCGATAAATTCCAAATTCAAACATACCTCGAACTTGCTTTTCAGAACCAGAGACTCGATAGAGTCCAACAGTTTTCATACCACGAGCCATAACTTCATTCACACAATGTATTACCAGTGCAGGAACTCGTGGAAACTGATCAGATGGACATAATAAAGACAAGCTTATATTGCGCGATCTCATTCTATTGGCAAATGTCGGACTAGAAAGTAGTGGATCTCCGTAACCATGAGTTTGAGGTTGTGTTAATGGTGAAATAGGAATGTACGCAGAAATGTGATGGGGTGTTGGTAGATTGCGACCACTTGTTTGGGAAGTGAAATTTGCACGTGGTACACTCGGTGGTACACAAGTTTGAATAAGCTATACAAAATTTTCAGAAAACCGTTGGGAGAAAATAAATTCATATTCCAAAGAGAACTGATAATGTGTACAGTAAACATTTAAGGTTGAATTTCTGATTTAGCATCTACTCAGTCAGTCAGCTACAACATAGGACCAGGTACATATATGCATCGGTCCAAGTTGCCATACTTCATTAGCACAAAAAGATGAACACCAAATCCATAGAAGTAGTTAATTCAGTGGTGGTAATATATAAAAAAAGGATTGCATATAAGTATATGGTACAGGAAGAAAGAATTAGTTCGTAGAAAGAAAGATATGAAGCAATTTTAATCTCATAGTTTAAAGGAAGACAAAGATAATATACACCGACGCCATTGTAATCGATTCTGAACCATGTCACGCAGTCTCCAACAATACGTTACGATAGTCACATGGACTCCAACTAAGTAGTCTTCATCTACCGACATGGCTCAGACTAGAAGTTAGTGACTTCAAGCACTGATGCCACGTCTTGGTTTGGTTGCCCCTATCGTTCTTCCAACCATGCTCACCAATAGTGTCAGCATTGCGCGTCGTGGTAGTCGGTGTTCAGGCATACGCAACACGTGGCTCCACCATCTTAGTCGATGAAGATTTACAACCTCATCAATTGATTAACCATAATTTCCTAATACCCTGCGTTTAACCTCACTATTACTTACCCGGTGATCCCAGCAGATGCCAGCAATATTTCTGAAACATCTGTGATCAAATACTAGCAACTTACGAGTACCTTCTACCCTTAGTGGCCACGTTTCGCAGCCGTAAAGTAGAACAGAACGAACTGCTACGCAGTATACTCATCCTTTAATTAATAGACGGATATCTCGCCTTCGACATAGGTGGCGTAAGTTGGCAAAAGACAAACGAGCTTTTTGAATCCATATAGAGGTTCCATCAGATACCAACCCATTAGCGCTGATCAGACGTCCAAGATAAGTGAAGTTGGCGACGCATTCGACTACTTCACCTACTGTCCTTAGTACAGGTGTTGACGCAGGCCTGTCCTGAAGCAATAACTTGCATTTAGAGGGGGAGAAACGCATAACAAACATCCTGGCATTGTTACTCAGTGTTACCAAAAGACTGCATTTTATCAGTCTTCACTAAACAGGACTATGTCATCTACGTATTCTAAGCCGACAAGTGGACCTCCTAATAGATCAATGCCCGAAACTTCAGTGGACGAGAACGTTAATTCCAGCGGTAGGTCTATGATCAAGTTAAACAAAAATGGAGATAGTGGACAGTCTTGACGGACACCACTTGAGGTAGTGTTTGAGTAAAGATTCTTCACAAGGTTTATGTACTTATGAGGTACAGCTTTCAGTGACAGACACTGCTACAGAGTCAAATGCTGCTTGTAAGTCAAGAAAGACCACCCTTGTCGGATGCCGATAAGCATGTCTACTGATAAATTTCCAAGTTGCAACATAATAGGCTTAGAACAAATAACACGTTGATATCAAACATTAATATAAAGTTAATATTCAGTAGTTAATTGAATGTTAGTCCCAGTTTCATATGACTTCGTAAGCAGACAACAGACTCGAAGCAAAACACTATATATATATATATATATATATATATATATATATATATATATAAACCTATTAAACCATCATAATTTAAAAAACTAGCCTTCACAGAAGCGAACCAAATATTGATTTCTTGTTATTTTCATGTCATCATGCTAAGGTGGTATGGCAACTTGGAACAGCGCAAATCCATCCCAGGCTCTATTTTGATTATGTCTATCTGATCTGTCATTTCTGTCTAGCATCCTACACATAACCTCGACAGTGTTCACTCAATAATTCTAACATACACGAACTTGACTAACTCACTTCTTGTTAGCGGGATATAGACTGGAATAAAGCATGTTCGTTGCGGATTGTGTTGAGTTACTCTGAATGGCTATTTCTTAACTGATCAGCGCTAGCGGATACTTGGAGAAAACTGGAATCTTCTTATGCAAAAATTATAAATACAGTAACGTTTTTCTTGCTGAGATTCCTACTTTCTTCCACTCTTACTATTTGGGAAATAAGTACGTTCCTATTCAACCATGTTCTCATTCGGCGACGTGTCGAGTGAAAGAGTTCAAGAATACCAAGAAATAAGAGTAGCTGGGTTGCAATAAGAGAAATCATAACACTACTTATCACTAATTTTATCATTGGCATAAAACAGTTCCTGTAGCGACATTTTGAGTTTAAGTAAGAAGAAATGCAGTCCGAACATACTTCCATTGTTACTTAAGATCCTCAAAAGACTCAACATTCCGTGCCCTTAACAAACAGAATCACATCATTTTCATATTTTAGTTTGGTAATTAAGTCTCCCGGTAAGTGATCTTTACCTGAAAAGTCAGACAATAGAATGGCGTTATCTCTAACACAATGCCTATGACGAAGTTAAATAAAAGTGGATAGAGTGGGGTAGTCCTGAAAAACACAAATTGATGTTGTCAATTCTAACGTCAGTTTGGCATAGGCTCTGGCCTAACCAGTAGTTTTCAAGTAAGGAGCTAAGTTTATTTTCTTTGCAGAAACACTGTTTTATTCAGAGGGAGCGTTAAATTAGACAAACGAGTCAATTTATACAAATTTTTTACCAGAAGAAATATAAAAAATTAGGCTATTACCATTTGTCGACACGCCGGATGTACTACAAGACGACAAACTAAGCATTTGTAAGAAGCTTTACCAAAAGTAATGCGGCGACCACATGCACTACACACTTCCATTCGTAATACAGTTCGTGAAACAAAATTGTGAGGACGATTTAAACGATTTATGGTTCCTAGTCTCTAAATATAAAAAAATTAAAAAACACATTAGCAATTCACCGTTTTAAATTGTAAATAACAGTTACACTTAAAATGAAGACATAAAATTTAAGTAAAACAGCCAGGTATTAGTTACTTATAATCCGAACCACATTTTTATATATGTATACATATGTTGACTGATTCCTCGCATGATCAGATTAACATACGAATAAGCTTCCCGTAAAATATGCAACTTCAGTCAGTCAGTCAGTAACAACGTAGAACTTCGTACGTACGTACATCAGTTCGAGTTGCCACGCCACATTAGCACAGAGATGCAGTTGTCGACTCAAATCCCATAGTGATAGAGGTAGTGAAAGTATAAGCAGTAATCAGAAACATTAGGGTTTGAAGATGTTGTTTAAAGAGTATAATACAGTGAAATAAATTTGGAAAGAGAAAAAAAAGACAAGGAGAATTCAGAAGATTAGAATTTGGGAGAACACAAAGAGAGGATGCACCTGCGCCATTACAAACGATTTTGAGCCATGTCATTCAGGGTCTCTAACCATCGGTTGCTATCATCTCGCGGTCCCCAACCAGTTAGTCTACACCTACCAACATGACTCAGTCCACTTGTCAGTGACTTCATGGACTTGTGCCATGTTTTGGTTTGGCCGCTCCTAGCTTTCTTCCAACCCACTCCTATACCACTGAACACAGCACGTCGAGGCAGTCGGTGGTTGGACATACGTAATACGTGTCCCAGCCATCTCAACTGATGAAGTTTCACTACTTCATCAATTGATTTGCCATCCTTACCTAGTACCCGTTTCCTAACAACTGTGTTACTTACTCGATGGTCCCGACCGAAGCTGCTACCTTGACGCGGTGGTCGGGCTTGCCTATCGTGATGACCCAACCGAGCTATATTGGCTGGAACATATGTTACTGTAGGTTCTACCATGCCAGGCAGGTCGATTGGAGAACGGTAAGACTAAAAGCAGCAACTCAAGGTCTGAGGGCGAAGTCGTACTGCTGACTGTACAGAGGTGTGACAGCAGTAAGGTGTTTCCCTCGGACAACCAGCATCTGCAGCAATGCTGCCTTCCCACAAGGAGGGGTGGGGTTAGAAAAGGTCGACCCTAAAAATGTCACACCTCACCTTACCTCACGGATTTCCGTCTCCGGCGGTAAGGCCCTTTGAAGAACGGAGCTAACACGTCAAAAACCTTCCACAAAAACGCCGTGCGCAACCGGCCTCAAGCAGTTGTCCCTTGGGCTCTGCGGTCACCCTCCCAGGTCGTCAAGACCAACACTAATCCAATTTCCTTTACAGGTTCCTCAAGAAATACCCTTCCACGGTGTGGGCAGCCGGGAAGTGATCAGTCAGTCAGTCAGCTACAACGTAGGACCAGGCACATATGTGCATCGGTCCAGGTTGCCATACCTCATTAGCACAGCAAGATGAACACCGGATTCATAGGAGTGGTTAGGTCAAAGGTTGCAATAAGGATATAGTATAGGAAGAAAGAATTAGTTCGTAGAAAGAAAGATATGAAGTGATTTTAATCTCTTAGTTTAAGGGAAGACAGGGAGTGTATACACCGACGCCATTGTGATCGATTCTGAGCCATGTCACCAAGAGTCTCCAACCATTGGTTACGAAAGTCACGCGGACCCCAACCAAGTAGTCTGCATCTACCAACATGGCTCAGACTAGAAGTTAGTGACTTCAGGCACTGATGCCACGTTTTGGTTTGGCCGCCCCTAACTTTCTTCCAACCATCCCCTACACCGGTTAGCATTGCACGTCGTGGTAATCGGTGTTCAGGCATACGTAATACGTGGCCCAACCATCTCAGTCGATGAAGATTCATAACCTCATCAACTGATTTACCATCATTCCCTAATACCTTGCGTCTAACCTCACTATTACTTACCCGGTGATCCCAGCAGATGCCAGCAATATTTCTAAGGCATCTGTGGTCAAATACTAGTAGCTTACGGGTGTCTTCCACTCTTAAAGGCCATGTTTCGCTGCCGTAAAGTAAGACAGAACGGACTGCTACGCAGTATACTCGTCCTTTTATTGATAGACGGATATCTCGCCTCCGCCAAAGGTGACGTAAGTTGGCAAAAGCCAAACGAGCTTTTCGAATCCGTGCTGAGATTTCGTCAGACACCAACCCATTAGGGCTGATCAGACTTCCAAGATAAGTGAAGTTGTCGACGCGTTCGACTACTTCACTCCCTATCCTTAGTTCAGGTGTTGACGCAGACCAGTCCTGAAGCAACAACTTGCATTTAGAGGGAGAGAAGCGCATCCCAAACATTCTGGCATTGTTGCTTAGTGCTACCAGAAGACTCTGCATTCTATCAGCGTCTTCACCAAACAGGACTATGTCATCTGCGTATTCTAAGTCGATAAGTGGACCTCCTGGAAGGAGATCAATACCCGAGAATTCAGTCGACGAGAGTGTTATTTCCATCAATAGGTCTATGATGAAGTTAAACAAAAATGGAGAAAGCGGACAGCCTTGACGGACACCACTTGAAGTTGCAAAAGTAGATGACAGTTCGCCATAAGCTCTGACTCGACTAGTAGTGTTCGAGTAAAGAGCCTTCACAAGGTTTATGTACTTCTGAGGTACGCCTTTCAATGACAGACACTGCCACAGAGTCTCGCGGTCTACAGAATCAAATGCTGCTTTTAAGTCAAGAAAGACCACCATCGTCGGACGCCGATAGGTATGCCTGTGTTCTAGAACCTGACGAATGGTGAATATGTGGTCGATGCAGCCACGACCAGGTCTAAAGCCAGCTTGGTTCTCTCGAGTTTGTAGTTCACGAGTCTTAGTTAGGCGTTTGATAATTATCGAGGCCAGTATTTTAGATACTATGTTTGTTAAACTAATCCCTCTGTGGTTGTCACAGGATGATTTTGACCCTTTCTTATATATTGGGACGATAAGTGATTGCGACCAGTCAGATGGGATAAAGTCTAATTCCCAGATCTTAGCTAAAATATTAGTCAACCTAATCGCTAAAATTGGACCACCATCCTTAAAGACCTCTGGAGCCAATCCATCTGGACCAGCTGCCCTTCCTCGTTTCAGATTAACTATAGCCTTTTGAACTTCAGCAAGAGTTGGGGGACCTACTTCAATGTTCCATTCACACTGTCTGGGAATAGAGGGTAGTTGTACAGTAGCTGAAGGCCAGCTGAACTGTTCTCTAAAATGTTCCGCCCATCGCTCTAAACGCCTGGACTGGGAGCAGATGAGAGTATCATCTTTTTCCGAAATAATCTCACTTACACTTGACTTATTAATTCCAGTTTCTTTTATTAGTCTGTAAAGCTGTCTTGTGTTCCCTATAGTCGCCGCCTTTTCCATCTCTTTTGCTTTCGTTACCCACCACTGCTCACGGTCGTTCCTTAGACTTTTTCTTAACCTAGATCTGATTTGTTTTCGCTCTTCATCATGTTCAGAACCTGATGGGACGAGTTTACGAGAATCCATCAGTGTGACAGACCTTGAAGAAATCCACTGGTTCCTTGCAACTCTGTGGTTTAAGTCACTAATAGATGTCACTGCTGTTTCCACAGCTGATTGTATGCCCTTCCAAGCAACATCTGGGTCAGCCTCGTCTTCACAACTACCTAAGTGTGACCTCAGTTGTTCCTGGAACCTACTTTTGATTTTCTCGTTACTCAACTCAGTTCTGACGGGTCTTTTTAATGTGGCTTTTTTGCGTCCAGTGAGGCGCAAGCAGATGCGTGCCTGTATTAGGGCATGGTCGGAGTCCAAGCAGGTACTCCAGAATGAGCGACAATCTTCTACCGACCCTCTCCAACGATGACTGATGGCAATATGGTCTATTTGAGTCCATCGTTGGTTTGGTGTAGGGGGTCGCCATGTTAGACGATGTCTCTCCTTATGCTTAAAATTTGTGTTTCCTAAAAATAAACGATTGTCTGAGCATAGCTGCAGCAGACGATCACCATTATCTGTTCGCTGTGTCGGAACACTGAAATATCCACCTAAATGCCTTTCTGTTTGGTTTAAGCTACCTATCTGAGCATTAAAATCACCTGCTACGAGTACTATGTCTGAGCGTTTAGCTTTCTGAAGAAGTTCGGACAGCTTTCTGTAAAATTCATCTTTCACTTCATCTGAGCTGCAGTCAGTGGGAGCGTAGGCAGAAACGACAAAAAGGCAACGACGTGTGTCCCTATCCTTCCGAGTTCTTACGTAGCCGTTCAGCCGAACGGCACATAAACGACTGTTGACGGGGATCCACTCTAGCAGTGTTTGTTTCGCCCTCATGCTTAGTGCTATGCCTACACCTGCCAGTCCACGAGAACTTGCCATCGGGTCACCAGATACACGAAGGGTGTATCTTGTTGGCTCTCCGTTTTGCCGAGGTGAGGTCAACTGGATGACCACACTGGAGTCCTGTATGCGTGTTTCGGAGACACAGCATACATCAATGGAAAGAGACTCTAGGGTTTTAGCCAAAGAAGCCTGCTGACCGATTTGACATAGGGTGGGTACGTTGAAGGCTCCAATGTGTAGTTTGGAGCGAGGTTTCAGTAGACCTGGGACAGTGTTTTGAGCACTAGAATCGTTGGCTATGGTGACACTTGAGGTGGAAGCCGAGAGAGGAAATTTAAAGTTGAAAGTCGATGTAGGAGGAATAATAGGAATTGAAGAGGGAGGTTGATTATGAATACAGTGGTCTTGGGTGCTGTTAGAGGTATGAGGGCGGTTATCACTTCCCGGTTGCCCACACCGTGGAAGGGTTCTTCTGGAGGTACCTGAAAAGGAAATTGGATTAAAGGTGGTCTTAGTGACCTGAGAGCGTGACCGCAGTGCCCAAGGGACAACTGCTTGAGGTCGGTCACACACGACACTCTTGTGGGTAATTTTCGTGTTAGCTCCGTAATTGTTGAGACCTTACCGCCGGAGACGGAAATCCGTGAGGTGTGCATTTTTAGGGTCGACCTTTTCTAACCCCACCCCTCCTTGTGGGAAGGCAGCATCGCTGTCATGCTGGTTGTCTGAAGGAAACACCTTACTGCTGTCACACCTCTGTACAGTCAGCAGTACGACTTCGCCTTCGGACCTTGGGTTTGTTGCTTTTAGTCTTACCGCTCTTCAACCGACCTGTCTGACATGGTAGGACCTTGAGGAACGGTTGTTCCAGCCAGTATAGCTCGGTTGCTTCATCACGATAGGCAAGCCCGACCACCACGTCAAGGTAGCAACAACGGTCGGGCCGGGAAGTGATATCAGCCCTCATACCCGTAACAGCACACGAAACAAAGTTGGTCACATTCAAATCCTTCCTACACCTTCTAATACCTCTCTTATCTCCATGACTAACCCTCCTCACGTCTCTTTATCACCTCGCACCGCTAGGGCAAACGATTCGAGTACGTGGAACGCTATTCCTGGTCTCCTGAAACCACGCTCTAAACTACACGTAGGAGCTTTTAACGTAAGAACACTTTGCCAAATAGGACAGCAACTTAACACATGTAAAATAATAATCTATACTTTCTTTACCTGTGCACTATTCTGTGGAGATTTTGAGGATAAACTTTCTCCTGAACGACGTACGATAAACTTTTGCACAGAAGCACATCGTAATTCTTGTTTTGTAGCAGAACGTCTGGCAGCACCAGTATGACTGACTGAACTGGCTCTACCCAATTTCTTCGATATGCGACCGCTTTAAAATTAAATCACACCCAGAGGTTAAAGGCAATAGAAAGTTAAGTATTAGACATAAATAAATCAAGATGTATGAGACTAAATAAAATTAATGTTGAAATTTGATACTCATTGTAATAATAAATTCTATGATACTAACAATCGTTTTAGAACAGAATCTAGGCAGGAAAACAGTTAAAAAAATTTCATATCAAGCTAACTATTAGATAAAATGCAACAACAAGCAATATAACTTGGTTGTTTAAACAAAGGTTAACGACTAAGGTCTAGATTTTCCACAATAAATATACTTCGTTTGGAAATATTTTAAAAAAATGGATCGGTGAATAGTATTTCATTTATGAGAACTATATATTTAACTTGGCTACCCACTGGTGACATTGATATCAAGCACTGACAGTTGCCGTATCACACTGAAATCACATTTATTTGGCAATATTTTTTTACTCCGTTTAATGTGGTTTGGTCAGATCTGAACCAGGCGCTGGTAAATTTGGCTGATGCTGAATGAAATTAAACTGATTCGGGACCACAGAACTACGTACAGATAAGAATTAGTGTAAGTATATATATTTGTACTACATCAGAAAAAAACAACCATGAAAGCAAAAAAGGATATGAGTCGAGGGGAAAAGTGAGATATTCACCATTTTAAAAAAATTTCATTTGAATTACTGTTTTCTATTGCCTCGAGTAACATGATGAAAAAAGGCAAATAGGTAGTGTGTAAAACGTGGTGCAGAAATAGACTAACCACATTTAACAGACAGTATGTTACACAATTAAAGGAGCAGAAATTAGAGCCTAAACATTACTTCGAAAAATGTAAGTACAAAGTATGGTGAAAATTCGGATGATGTAATGAATGAATCTACACCGATTGAACTGATTTTTAGTTATGCTACTCAAGGTCTCCAATCACTGGTTTACAACATCATGAGGACACTGATCACGATACCTGAAACTCAATATGCAGTCTGAATACCTGTAGTTATCACAGGTTGTGAAATTTAATTAGCAGGCAACTAAGCTATAAATTGAAATCAATCGTGCTTTCTAAATAAACGAAAAATACTGTTGAATATCATCCTAGTAAGATTTGTTTAGGAAAAACGAAAGGATTAATATGTCCATATTTGGATTTTAATGCTAACTTAGCTGTTGGCCTAGACGAACCGGAAGAAGACTAGGTTGAAAATACTAGATATCTGAAGGGAGGATTTTACTAAAATCAAGTTCCAATGCACCTTCCAGAATGGTCCCGTTCTAGGGACATCATCAAAGACTACAGTTGTCACTGCTTTTGGTTAAACCGCTCTCCTGGGGACGAGAGTAAGCTTCAGAAAATAATCTTAAAACAGAACTTGAATAGTCAGTTCATGATGCATTCTCACAACCTAGTTAAGAAAAAAGCCGTCAGTCACGTCAAGCTTAGCATTAAATCTAGGCATAAAAATTGATACTATATTGAAAACAGGTAATATCTAGGGGGCAGAAAAATCAGTGGATATAAAATAACCTTACCTATTACGGCCTTTTTTGACAACAGACTCTGAATCGATAGGTGTATTGACGTGTCCGATTGAAGAACCTACTGACCATTCATTACAAGACTGATTGATTTCATTCGTGGAAAGGTCAATCGCATCAAGATGACGTCTGGCGCTATCAACATCATTAACGAGCAGCACTTGTCTTATCATATTAATCTTGTGTTCAAGAGATTTCCTTGATCGTTCTATACGACGTCGTTTCTGAACTTCAGCTTCGAACATAGCCTGGGTATGGGCCTGGACAGTACAAGAAAATAACAATAAATTTACCTGTAAATTTGTCAATCGCTTAACTTCTGACTTTTGAACGCGCAGAACGGAATACAGTTTTATGAAAGTACTTTTCCACTTATTACGACAATTGTCCAAAACATCTAGTAGTTGGAGTATATTTTCGTCTGACTTTACAGATCCTTTATATAACTATATTCATTTATACACAGTATCAATTAGTTTACCTTATCTGATCGGCACAGAATTTGATCAAATAACGTTTGGAAACTCGTTGATTTGTTTTTTCGCTTCACAAGCCTCCCGGTTGCCATCAGTTATTGTCAGATCTGTGGAAATAAATCCAGGTACCTGAAAATACTAATAAATGAGATTAGCTAATAATACGTAAATGGAAATTTAAAAACGAAAGCTCAGGAACATGGTAAACCATGGATGGGTTAGTGTTTAAACCTCTTGACTTTCACTCGGAGTTGTGGGTCCAATCTTTCTTCTACGTACTTAGGTTTGAGCAGCTAGTGTTAACACGAAACATGGCTTAATATTGACTAAATAAACCTATACCTGGTCATTTTAAAATTCCTGTAGAATACTTAGGGGTAAAGAGCATTAGAGTGGACGATCGTTTATACCTGGTAACTGGGTTGCACTAAGTTTGAAATACTTGCCACAAAAAACTAGATTGCTAGAATTGACTAAACTATCTCGTATGATTAACCATATCAAAGGTGAATGTGGCAACTCTCTATTGAGTGATACCTATCCAAAGTAGACGAAATCTGCCTTGAAACTCGTCACACACTACAGTAATATCAAGACGGCACCTCTGCACAAAAACCAGTGACCTGAGCTCGAAAACGGTGAAGAGATCTAGGTGGTCTTATATATGTTCAAATTACGCCATCTTTATAATTAAAACCAACAATGTACTCTAGATGCTCTCTCTATTTAGTACAAACTCCGATATATCAGTGTCTTTATACCGATACGCCCCCGAATGTCACGGTACGTCAGACGGTGGAAAGAGCCCGCATACTCTCTCAAAATGCTCTCGTATGGTTACGCGTATATAACTACTGTCAGGAAACCCTATTCACTGCATTTTCGCAGAGGTTATTGTTTAGAAAGCTGAGAAGAAAATCGAATGTCCGGTGCGTAAACAGGATTGGTGAGTACAGAGAATCAACCTAGGGAAGTTGGGAAACCCTGATTTTCTGAACCTACGGAGCACACGAGCTCTAGAATCTTAAGGGAACAAATGGCGAATGGGCCTATTGTTGGTCATCGGCTACCATGGGACTGCATCTCTTAACGTTGTACCAGTGCCTTGTGGATAAGACCTGTGCCGAAGGCTCGGGTTGTGGCCGTCTAAGGAAACCACCTGTTTCAAGTTTAGGCATTCGGACAGCGTCTCAGCCCAAACACAAACTGACTGATTACTTTGTGTAGCGCACATATTTCGGTACCTCTTTACACCAATATTTGTGTTTAAATAAATAAATAAAATAAATTTTTATTGATAGAAGCCCTGGAAGAATTACTCACTGAATCGCTTCCCCTTAAAACTGTCTTCTTTTTGTCAATAAATGTAAATCATTAACTGAGCACATGTTTATTAAATCGCACTTGAGTTACACCGCTTGCAAGCTTTAACAGTACTACCAAAAGTGGGTTGGAAATTGGCCTAAAACTCAACAATTAAAACCGAATCTTCTAGCCACCAAACCAGTGATGTATCTTCACAAAAAATTGTCCGCTTTTTAGACGATCTAAGTGTTTTTTTATTACAGGATGGTAGTGAAAATTCTAAGCTGTACAAAATGTGGATTCTTTGATATTGTCATCTACAGATTACAATGATGTCAGGTTATGGGTTGTACAAATTCAAGGAAAATAGGGGGGTTATTCGCGTAAAGGCTTTAATCTTTCATGTACACAATTTTATTTTTTGAAATTAGTCTAGATAGTGGAGTAGTTCATTGACTCTCTACATAATAACTAATACAGTAACTCGTACTTAATTACTGAAAGCCACGAGCAACAAACTGTCACAATAGCTTGTTGTATTGCTACATTTGGCTTACAGACTATCTTTATCTCAGATGAATGCAAATGTACTTAATACAGCTTAGATATATCAAAGCATATAAACACAGTATGACTAATATGGTTGTCAATGCTTTAAAGTGTAAGTTAGGTGAGATACTCCAAAATAACTGTTTCTTTTGGATAGGAAGTATAAACCAGTACGATGGGAGATAAAGCATCCCTTGAAAACCATGATCGATTCTAGATACTATTGCTAACTTGAAGAACACTTTTGGTGCGAGATACGGACATGAAACCAAACAATAAACACGGTTCTGAATGCACAAGAGCACAGTACCAAACCTAATAAAAAAGAGACTGATTCTTATTAAGACAGTTAGGTCAGATATTGCAGAAACTTATGTTGGTAGTTTACCCAACAAAACGTTTATTTGGTCCAATGTCAACAATTTCTGCTGACTTGATTAAAAAACAAGTGAATTTGTGTTAGTAATATACACGACTTAGGCTATTTACATGTACTATAGAAAAGTAAACAAACTTTAAGAAGCAAACATCATAACGAACAACAAACTACGTGCAACGCGCCACCCTGAACGATTTTGGTTTTTCGAAAGGCTTGTAACTGTAGTGACCGATTCTAACAAATACGCTGAACCGTATACGATGGGTTTCCATTCCAGTTGTTCAGAGAATACATTATGAACGGGAAGTATTATCTGCTTATAAAACCATAATGAGTAAAATGAGTAGTTTCCGAAGTTACAAAATACGCAAGATTACTTTGTAGTGACTCACTTTTATCACGAGAACACGACTGGTTTAATGAGAACAATTATTATTATAACCAACTGTACCAGTGCTTGTTTTAACGTGCTTTTGTTTAACTGTGCTAATTACAGCCATTTTGTGCTTCTATTACCTTCCATCATTGTTCCGCGGTTTTTGGCTTTGTTCGCACGTACTCCACCTTCCTGCTTTCGCTTGTACCATTTATTGGCACGGTCTTGGTGTTCGTTCGATACCACGAGATCGCCAACGAAATAAATCTGGTTACGTTCAACCTACGCCTTCTGATTTCTTTGGCACATGTTTCTTGGTAGCGATGTTCATAGTTAATTGGGACTCGACGACACGTTACAACTGCTGAGCCAAATTTTGGAACACGCTCCAACCTCTGGTCAAATCTTCCAAAGAAACCGATTCGGTGAGTCTATAGTTTATCTATCCACGTCTGTCGTATATTTTCATATTATCTTTTAATATGTAATACACTCGACATGACGGATAGCGACAAGAATAGTATTAATGTCACAGACTCAGACGTACAGGCCGTTCACTTTCGACCTGTATCATTCATTCCCCACGACCCAGAGGTTTGGTTTGCTGCATTAGAGCTTCAGTTTGAGACTCGTCGCATTACGAGCCAAAGGCAAAAGTACGCCTTCGCTCTCAAGTCACTACCCGGGGACCATTTAGTAGCTGTACGTGAGGTTGTCCTCAATTCCAACGTGCCTAATGTTTACGATCGCCTCAAAGAGGCGATTCTCCGACACTTCCTCCCATCGAGGGAGGAACGATTGAGGACATTGTTGGCACATCACCCCCAGGGTGATGCTAAACCAAGCCACCACCTCACGCGCCTACAATCTCTTGCAGGACCATTAGCATCTGACTCGGAAATAGTTAAGGAATTGTGGCTCGAGTCATTACCAGCTCACATCCAACCTACTGTGACGGCCCTGCTCGAGGACGCACCGCTTAACCACGTAGCCCTCATAGCAGACAAAATTTTAGCGAGGACTAGTAGCAGAGACAGCTATGTAGTTGCTTCAACGGCACGTCCTAAAGTAGACATGGACGTCGGTCACTCCTCAGCTCATGGCGACACACGTCTTAGTTTTCGAGACCGTTGTAACGTACCCCAACCCTACGTCCCCCGAGCTCGCTCAAGTTCCTGCAAACCCGTCACCACTCGCCCAAAAAGGGCATCTTCCAATCCACGCCGAAAGGCGGCTTCGGAAGCGAGTGAAAGTTGGTGCTGGTTCCATAGGTCCTTCGGGTCTGGCGTCCGCCATTGTTGAGCACCATGCTCATACAAGGCGGGAAACGCCAACGCCGGCGAGTAAAAGTGGCCGTACTCGCCGACCCTTCACCTCAGGTTGGTCGCTTATTCTATGTGCACGATTACCACACAAACGCTAGGTTCCTAGTAGACACAAGAGCCCAAGTTTCTGTCGTACCACGAGGTAGCAGCAAGTCACAAGCCACAGTGCTTCGACTACGCGCTGCGAATGGCTCAGTCATTCCTACCTACGGTACACGACAACTCGCGGTCAACCTGGGCAACCGATGACGGTATCTGTGGACGTTCATCATTGCTGATGTTCCCACAGCCATACTAGGTATCGATGTCCTACAGCACTATGAATTGCTTGTCGATTCACGTAGGCTGCAGCTAATCGATACTTCGTCGAACAGTAAATTCATGGGCTGCAAAGCCCAAATGAACGCGTACCGAATCCTCGGCACTTTTTGCTCGCGTAACGATAAATTCCACGCTTTATTCGAGAAATTCCTCGTACTCACTTAACCACTCGAGGAGCTTCCGTCGGTGACCAATCGTGTGGTACACCACATAGTCACCCGCGGACCGCCAGTCACGGCACGACCTCGCCGACTGGCATCGGACAACTTAGCTTCCGTTAAACGTGAGTTTGACAATTTACTAGCTACTGGTATTATTCGTCCTTCTCACAGTTCATGGGCTTCTCCTCTTCACATGGTGCGCAAAAAAGATGGTGTTAGTTGGAGACCATGCGGTGAATACCGAGCTCTAAACGTAGTTACGCTTTTGATAGCTACCCCATCCCCCACATACACGACATCACGGCATCGCTCAAGGGCACGACTATCTTTTCTAAGATCGATCTGGTACGAGCATATCATCAGATCCCAGTCGCTCTTGAAGATATAGAAAAAACTGCTATCACGACTCCTTTCGGTTTGTTTGAGTTCCTACGAATGCCTTTTGGATTACGGAATGCTGCTCAAAATTTTCAAAGGTTTATCGATAGCATTGTACGAGATCTAGATTTTGTTCACGTCTATATTGATGACCTGCTAATCGCATCATCAAACGTAGATGAACATTATCAACATCTTACGCTATTATTCCAGCGCTTTTCGGATAATGGAATAGTAGTTAACCCGGACAAGTGCGCGTTGGGTAAACGAGAAATAATATTTCTGGGTCACGTTATCAAGCAAGAGGGTATTCTACCTTGTGAGGAAAAAGTGCAAGCAATGAAGGAGTACAACGTGCCGTCCTCACTCAAGGAACTGAAGGCTTTTCTCGGTTTGGTTAACTTCTACTGTCGTTTCATCCCACACGCGGTAGAACGGTTACGACCACTAACCGACTTACTACGCGGCAACCCACGCAGATTGGAAATGAACGATTCTGCACGTACTGCATTCACTGAAATCAAAATGGCTCTTGCGCAAGCCACTCTTATCACCCATCCAGATCCATCACCCACGCTTAGTATAGCGGTTGATGCATCCGATGTTGCTACTGGAGCAGTCATGCAACAAAACATCTCCGGTAGTTGGCAAGCCCTCGAGTTTTTCTCACGACGCCTTACTCCCACGGAGACGAGATATAGCGCTTTTGGTCGCGAGCTGCTAGCAGCCTACTGCGCCATCAAACATTTCCGGCACGCCGTAGAAGGACATCAATTCATCTTATTCGCCGACCATAAGCCCTCAACGTATGTTTTGCATACCAAGTCTGACCGCTACTCACCACGAGAGTGCAGACATTTGGACTACATCTCCCAGTTCACGACAGACCTTCGTCACATCAAAGGCAATTCGAACTGTGTTGCTGATGCTCTATCACGAATCCAAACGAATGCAGTTACTCTGCCGGTGCTCGATTTTCCTGCTATGGCCGCCGCCTAAGCAAATGATCCCAGTTGTGCAAAAGCACTACACTCTACGTCCCTTCAGTATCACGAAGTACCGCTAGCCACGACTTCTGGCACCATCCTATGTGAGACTTCTACCGGTCTTCCTCGACCCATCGTACCGTCCGCTTATCGCCGTCTCGTATTCGATGCCCTGCATGGATTATCTCATCCAGGTATCGCAGCTACATTACGCCTCATCGCTGCACGATACGTCTGGCCGTCCATGAATAAAGATGTTCGTATGTGGGCGAAGCAATGCTTACAATGTCAACGATCAAAAGTGCACAGGCACGTAGCCGCCCTTCTTGGCACTTTCGCTATGCCTGGTGCTCGCTTCGATCACGTCCACTTAGACATTGTAGGACCACTGCCACCATCGCATGGGTATAATCACACACTCACGTGCATTGACCGTTTCACCAGATGGCCCGAAGCTATACCCATCACGTCTATCACGGCGGAGACAGTTTCTCACCGCTTCGTAGAACGACGGATAGCTCTATATGGTTGCCCTTCGACTGTCACGACTGACCGAGGACAACAATTTTAGTCCGCATTATTCTCCTCACCTACTCGACTGCTTGGTACGGAGTGCATACGCACTACCGCCTACCATCCAGCTTCTAATGGTTTAGTTGAAAGGTTTCAGCGCCAATGTAAAAGTGCTATTCGAGCACACGAAAACGACAACTGGTACGAAACCTTACCGCTCGTCCTCTTAGATATTCGAACGAGCTTGAAGACAGATATCCAATGTTTCGCCGCTGAACTTGTATACGGCACGAAATTTCGTCTGCCCGGGGAATATAACGCTTATAAAAAATAAGGAAGTGAATGAATACTTGAACAATACTGTTTTGGCATATGCTTGGTTGTTTGGGGTCGACTCTTAACCAACCAACTTAAGCTGTTACAAATTCTTCACACCACGGAGCAGACCTGATTTCGGTAAACCAGACTACGTCCAACGACTGTCTGCATTTATGCGAACGCTGTCTCCGGTGTCAACTCGAATACGACATCGACAGGTCGCTCTCCCTCGAGAGTTATCTACCTGTTCACATGTTTTCATACGAGTAGATTCGGTACGCAAACTTTTGCAACAACCTTACGAAGGCCCTTTTCACGTAATCGCTCGTCACGAAAAGACCTTTTAGGTTGATCGACATGGGCGCGTCGAAATCGTCAGCATTGATCGTCTCAAACCAGCACACGTCGATGACAGTGCCCCATCTGATAACCTGAGATTCAATGCTAGACCTATCAAACCTAGCAGCATCCTTAAATCTTCTTCAGATCCCACGCTAGACACACCTGAGACCTCATTCTGACGTCCCAGTCAACAGGACGCGTCATCTGCACCGTTTACGGACGAGACGACAGTCTCACGTCCAGATCAGCAGACCACGCCGCCTCTGACCTCGGATGAGATTGCAGGCTCGAGATATGAACGAGACTACCGTCTCACGTTCCGGTCGCCGAGTACGGTTGCCCATACGCCTCCGCGACTAGCCACAGAGTTAACAACCGATACAGTGAAGGACTATTCCTATACTACATGCACACTATACTCTTCTCTTTTTTGATTTTTTTTCTGTATCCTGAGCCCGCACCTCCGACCATCCCCGTTTGGTACCG